CCGTAGCACTGGGTCCGGACTGCTGGACACACAGCACACAGCACACAGGACAGCTCACGAGGCGGCGCTATATAGTGGGGTTCTCATGGGACTGACGCGGGAGAAGAAGGTGGAGCACAGGACGGGAACACAGAACTCTCGAACTGACATCCCACCCCGCGCCGGGGGCGGTGGCGCGCGCGAGCGCCGGGGAATTTGGACCCGCATCTGGCAGGCGCCAGGCCCGGACCCGCCGGCAGAGCCTTGAGCCTTGAGCCGCACTCCGCGCCGGATCTGAGAGGAGATCCGGCGCGGCGCTGACCGCGTCCTCGAAGCCCACAACGATCCGGACAACGATCACCGAGTTCATCCGATGAACGGGGAGGCCGATCACAGAGACCGGAGAAGCGGCAGCTGCGACATGTTGTCGCAGTGCGGCAGGTACTCCTGCTGCAGCGCGCGCGCGGTGGTGAGGGAAGCGCGAGCCCTTGAGCTGCTGGGTCAGTCCATCGCCGGCGCATGCGCCGGCCTTGAGGTGGTTCCCACAGCAGCTACCGAGCTAGCCCAGGGGCTGTGGCCCCGCGAGCGCAGGAAATGCGACAACACTCCAGAAAATAATAAGAGAATTCTTATAACCATAGAAGCCTCTCTCACAGCACATCATAATAATAACTGGCACAAGAAGTCTGATGGCGCACAGACCGCTCTGAACCAACTCTCTCGGCAGTCTCTCCTCTCTGAACCAGGGTTGAGGACATGGAGGTAGATGACGATGGGGCACACACACGGCTAAGACACTGAGTTCTGAGCACCTCTCTCTGCACACCACAACCCCGCAGCCGCACACGCAACACGTCCTCACGGTACGCACACCCCGCGCTTGGGCTGCGCAGTAGAGCTTCAGCCCGCGTAGCCGGGGTACCAGCCAGGAAGGCAAGTGCCGTGGCACCACCCGTTCGTGCAACGGCTGCCGTCAGCCCGCTGCCGCTCGCCTTCGCACCGCCCGTAGCACCGTCTACTGCTATCGCACTGGACGAGGGTGGGCAGGAAGCTCACCGGCCGCTCCTTGCCGGAGGAGGTCTGCTTCGCCCAATGCGCCGTCCAGGTGCCCGCCACGCGGGGTGCGGCCGACGGAGCGGCGAGCAGCACCACGAGTGCAAGGGCCGCGAGCAGCGCGACGGCGGAGCGCCAGTGAGCGTGCGTGCCGCCAGAGCGTAAGCGCGTGCCGTCCGAGCTCTGCGTCTCCGCGTCGGCGGCGCAAGCGGCCTCCACGTCGGGAGTGTGCATGAGTACTGGCCGAGTCCAGCCCGGCTAGAGCCTCCTCGGGCGCGTACGCAGTCGAGCACGAGCCCTGTCCCCTCGCTCTCCAGTCGAGCACGCAGCCCTCCCCGCGCACAAACTTTAAAAGAAACCGCGATGTTCTTTCTCTTGAACTCGGGGGCACGGAACGCGGCACAAACGTGTGTGTTCTCGGATTTTAAAATCGCGGTTTCTTTTGACCGCGCAAGATATAAAGGGTGGCTAAGGGCTCTGCCCGCAAGGCGCCCGCGTCGCAGACGCGCGGTACCATTGACAAATCTGCAATATACCCCCACACGAACAAATAGCAAAATCCGAATACTGTGCACGAACTGCGTGATCTGGGCCGTGGACGGGGGCAAGCCTTCAGCTGGTGCCAAGACATCGTAAAATTGAAGCCGCGACGTCCGCCAAATCCGTGCTTTCGGAGCAACTGAGGGAAAGCCGCTGATCGAGCCCAGCGTGCCCGCGGCCATCCCGCAGGCGGTGGCTTCGTGGAGAGAGGAGAGCGAAACTTTGCTAGGATGGGCCGGGGAGCTAGACTGTATGCCAAGCACCACACCGGCACCGCAGGAGGTGTGAATTGCACGACGCGGGCACTCAGGAGGGTAGTATGCGTTTAGCTGCGCTTAGCGGTTCGGTGGTAATTGAAGACCAGCCGGCCAGAATAAATAAATTTGAGAGTGAATGCCCACAGTGCCCAACAAACAACAACAAACTAAGCAAACCGATTAATGTACGTCTCGCGATTACACGACGTTGAATTCTTTTTTGTGGGGTCGCTCAAAATCCGGGAAGGAGTTTTGAGAGACTCTCCTTTTAAAATTCGTTTACTGCCACGCGCCAGTCCCGTGCCCAGTGTCGTGCGAGGGAGTAATAAATAAATAAATACAAAGGACATCCCAAGCTAGGGCTGGGTCGAGGACAGACACGTCCCCACCTTTGCAGGATTTTGCAAAAGCGAGGGGGGAGGGCGCATCGCCGCGCGGAGAGGGCTGGGCACAGGGCACAGGGGATCTCTCTCGCATAGGATATGCACTCGGCGGCACGAGGGCAAGGCTGGGCGTCCTATGTTTGTGCTCCCCCCCGGACCCCTCGCTCTCGGGCACTAACCATCTGACCACTCATCGACGGGGCTTGGCGAGCGGCCGCGCTGCGGGGCAGGGCTGGTGAGAATGGGCTCTGGCCACTCGCCCGTGCGGTTGTAACCCCGCATCTGTCGGACAGAGGCCTCGACCGCCCCTCGCGGCAAGCTCTCGAGCATCTCGAGCAGCTCGCCCGCCGCCATCGCCGCCTCGAACTGCTCCCTCATGCCGAGCGCGCCGCATACCCTGCGGACCGCCTCCTGCTGCACCTCGTCCGGCGTATCGGTTTCATAGCCGGACGAGTCAGCGGAGGCGGCCCGCTTGGCGGGCGGAGAGTCGGGCGACGGCGAGCGCGACTGGCGCGAGGGCCCGCTGCCGCGCGCGGACAGCGCGTTCTTGTCAACGAGACGGGGTCCAGCATCGGCACGGCCCCTGGCACCGCGGCCCTTGCCGCGCTGCTGCTGCCCACGCTTCCTGCCCGGGTTAGGGACAGTGAAGGAGCAGCCGCGCACTCCGCCGCCGCTGGGCGGCGGCGGCACGCGCGCGGCGGCGGCCGGGCCCGCAGGCGCGGCGGGCTGGCCACCCGCGGTGGCACCCTGCGGCTGCGATGCGGCTGCGGCGGCGTACGTCTTGGGCGCCGGCTCCGCGGCTGGCGGCGCGGCGGCAGGGGCGGGCGGCGCCGCAGGGCTCGCGCTCGCAGGCGGCTCCGTGGCCTGCGCCTGCCGCTCCTGGCGCACAGCGCGCTCGAGCTGCGAGTGCGGGTGCAGCTGTACGATGACGTCGCCGCTCTGCGTCGCGGTGAAGGAGACCGAGTACGGCGCTTCGCCGTCGTTCTTCTTCTCCGCGTAGACGAGCGCGTAGTCGCACACCTGTCGTTGGTGGTCAGTGAAGATGGTCTCTGTGCAGCGCTCGGCGGAGCCGACGCGAGAGAAGTGCCGCCTGAACGCCATGCGTCAGGCGCTGTTTGAATTGCCTGTGTTTGGTTGTAAAATTCGGCGTCCAAAATTTTTTTCCAAGCGGGCCGCGCCGGGTTAGACTGACTGACTGACTGGGGGCCCGCGCCGAGCGGTAGCCTCGGCCGCAGCGCTGATGTCGCAGTGGAGCCTCGAGGGTGACAGCACGCTCGAAGGCGACATCACGATCGATTTGCCGTGCACGGAGGGTGCGGCCAGCGCTTTCGATCTCGGCCGCGCGCGACTGTTTGGCGCTTACGGCAAGGCATTTGCTCACGGCACCGTCAGCCGCGTCCAGTGCAGTCTAACGGTGGAGGCGGGCTGTCTTCGCGTGGAGTCGCGGGGTCAGAACCCAACTGGCATACGTCCGGCTGGCGGCGCGTGGAGACTGCTTGCACAGCAGCAGCGCTCAACGATGGTGACGAGCTGGCACTCGACAAGATGCGCAAGCCCGGCACCGTGTTCACCGTGCGCAAGCGCCCTCGAGGGGAGCCGGAGGTCTGCAGCAGCGCCCCGGTCCCGGCCACGCCCGCGGTTGCCGCCGTGGCCGCGCCGCCACTCACGCCGCATCACGCAACGATTTGCTCCTGGAATGCAGCGACGGTTGCGCCAAAGTCTGGCAGCAGCCCGGACAAGCTGCGCACGATGCTGGACGAGCTTCGCTTCCAGCCGGACATTCTTTGCCTGCAGGAGACGAAGTTCTGCGACGAAAAGGCGGAGAAGCGGGCGAAGGAAGCCACGCCCGAGTACGACTGGCACATCCCGGCTGGCAGCTACTATCAGAGCCCAGGCCGTGGCGTCGCGCTGCTCGTCAAGAAGGGGAGCAAGCTCGCCGGAGGCCGGCTTCTCAAGCTGCCGTGGGACGTTGAGCACCGGGTGACTGCGTATGAGACGAAGTTTGGTCTCATGGTCGGCACCTACATGCCGACCGTCTCTAGCAGGGCAGGCCGGCTGGAGAAGCGACTCGACTACGAGAAGGACTCGCCTCGCCTCCCTCCTTTCCAAGCACAAGCTCCTAGCGGTCGTCGGAGACATGAACGTGGCGCCGTCCGACGAGCTGGATTGCTCTATCCCTTGGGGCAAGTTCTTTCTGGACGGGGAGGACGGCAAGGGCGACTGGGAGAAGCGCGCGGTGCAACTGCGCAGTGCGCACTGCAAGCTCCTCAAGGATGGCGGCCTCGTCGATGCCTGGCGCTACCACAACCCGCGCAGCGTGGAATTCACCAGCTTTCAGGACCAAGGCTGGCACAAACCGGGGAAAGGATGGCACGCGCGCGTCGACCTCGTCCTCGTGCCCGAGCCGCAGGTGGCCCATGTCCGCCCAATCATATACTCGGAGATAACCGCGCACGCCGCAGGCCGCCAGAGCGACCATGTGCCGGTGGGATTGCACCTCGCGCTGCCTCTCGGCTAGATCGTAGAGCGTGCTTTGTAACGTACGGTCCCTGTGCTCGAGGCTCGCTGGTTGTGAATGTGGGCCTCACTTACATTTTCCAGAGGGTTGGGGGTTCTACGGTAACATTTGCCGCCGCCCGCCCCCCAACCTGCAACCAACACGCGGCGAGCTGTGATCATGCACGCTCAGTCGCGCGCGCCACGGAATCACACAGGCTTCCGGAGCGGTGACCGGCGTGTCGGGTGAGTCGATATTAGAGCGCGCGCGCGTAGTCACGGCAGGCAGTACTCAGGCGGCGGCTGGTCCGGCGCGAGGCGGCACCAGCATGGACGCAGCATCTAGGCGGAGCCGCAGCGACGGGTCGAGCTCCTTGGCTGCGAGCGCGCGGATCACGCTGCCAACAGCTTGCGAGCCTGGCGTACAGTGTGATTACACCGGCTTCAGGGTGTGAGCGCATGTGTCCGGGGATGTGCTTTGTGTGTGAAGACGGTCTCGTGCCGTGCCACCAGAGCACCGCGTGAGTACAAGGCCTCCGATGGCAGACTGCAGAGTACGGCACACCGGCGAAGAGGCTCGTGCCGTGCCATCAAAGCACCTCGTGAGCACAAGGCCTCCGATGGCAGACTGCAGAGTACGGCACACCGGCGAAGAGGCTCGTGCCGTGCCATCAAAGCACCTCGTGAGCACAAGGCCTCCGATGGCAGACTGCAGAGTACGGCACACCGGCGAAGAGGGCGCCGTGAAGCACAGCCGCAACGATCTGTTGTGTGTCTAGGCTTTTGCGAACCGGCGTTGCCTCCGTGGCCAATGATCAGCGGCACGAAGTGGGCGAGCTCGACGCTGCGCTGCAGCATGTGCTCGAACCAGTCGATGACGAACGCGGCGCCCCAGAGGCCGACGAGAAATAGTGCCAGCCAGCCCAGCCGCGACATCACGGCGGCACAGACGCTGCCGGAGTACTCCTCGTCGGCGTGTGCGCGCAGCCGCTGCTCAGTGAAGACTCCGTCTGTTATTTCGGAGCCGGACTCGGCGGAGGCGTGCTTGGAGCGCTGTTCGCTCTCTCGCGAGAAGATGAGCGGATACTGCTCGATCAATGTGGAGGAGTTGAGCGACGAGTCCCGCGACATCCGCGGTGGTTCCTATTGCATGAGTATTGTATTGATGAGTGCAGAAAATGTACGTGAAAAGCGCGTTTTGCTCTGCTCAACGTTGAGAGAGTACCGCCGGGAGGCGGCGGGCAACCAGATTTCTTCTTTGTGGCTGGGTTGTGCCTTCGTTGTCTGTGGAAAAGTCTTTTTCTCGCGATGTCCACCCCACCGCGCCGCCGCTCGCGCCGCCTCGCCACCGCCGCCGCCGTCGCCGCCCCCTCGCCAGACACGCCGCCGCCCGCCCGCCTCCTCGACCTCCCCTCGGAGCTCCTCGCTCGCTCTCTCTCACACTGCCACAGCCCCCTCGACATCGCTTGCGTCGCGGCCGTCTCGCTCCTCTTCCACGCCTCGCTGGCGGTGGAGGGCATCCGCTTGTGGGCGCAAGAGCGCGGCTTCGAGCTGCCGGCACAGCCAGAGGGCGAGGGCTGCGCCGTGCGGTGGCTGTGCTATTCGGCGCTGCTGTGCGAGGCCAACCCGCCGGCGAGGCTGGCGCCAGGCCAGTCTCACAGCCTCTTCATCGACGGCGAGGGGCGGCTCTTGTCGTGCGGAAAGGCTGAGAGCTGGACGCCGGGACTACTCGGGCACGGCGACGGCGTGATGCGGCTCAACACGCCGACCCGCCTCCCTTCGCCGCTGGGTGGCGAGCGTGCCGTGAGCGTGTCGGCTGGAGGCGGGCACAGCCTCGCCCTCGCCGCTGACGGCTGCGTCTGGAGCTGGGGCGAAGGATATGCTGGCAAGCTGGGCCACGGCGACCAGCAGTTCCAGCTGCAGCCCAAGAAGATCGAGGCCTTTGCTGGCCAGCAGCGCGTCGTCGCCGTGTCGGCTGGACTCGCGCACAGCCTCGCCATCACCGCCGACGGAGCTGTCTGGAGCTGGGGCTATGGAGAGCAAGCAAGGCCGGGCCACGGCGACACGCAGAACCAACTGCTGCCGAAGAAGATCGAGGCCTTGGCGGGACAGCATGTTGTCGCTGTGTCGGCTGGATTCGCGCACAGCCTCGCCATCACCGCCGACGGAGCTGTCTGGAGCTGGGGTGGTGGAGGTGGGGGCAAGCTGGGCCACGGCGACGAGCAGAGCCAGCTGCTGCCGAAGCAGGTCGAGGCCTTTGCTGGCCAGCGCGCCATCGCCGTGTCGGCTGGATGCCGGTACAGCCTCGCCCTTGCCGCTGACGGCTGTGTCTGGAGCTGGGGCAGTGGAGGCAATGGCCGGTTGGGCCACGGCGACACGCAGCGCCAGCTGCTGCCCAAGAAGGTCGAGGCCTTTGCTGGTCAGCGCATCGTCGCTGTGTCGGCAGGGGACGACCACAGCCTCGCCATCACCACCGACGGCGCCGTCTGGAGCTGGGGCTGGGGAGCCTTTGGCAGGTTGGGCCACGGCGACACGCAGAGCCAGCTGGAGCCGAAGAAGGTCGAGGCCTTGGCGGGCCAGCGCGTTGTCGCTGTGTCTGCTGGAGACGGACACAGCCTCGCCATCGCCGCCGACGGCGCCGTCTGGAGCTGGGGCGGTGGAGGCATTGGCAAGCTGGGCCACGGCGACGAGCAAGAGCAGCTGCTGCCCAAGAAGGTCGAGGCGTTGGCTGGCTAGCGCGTCGTCGCTGTGTCGGCTGGAGGCAGCCACAGCCTCGCCCTCACCGCCAAGGGCACCATCTGGAGCTGGGGTGGTGGAAGCTGTGTCTGGAGAGAAAACCCCCTGCATGCTGTTGCTCGTGAGTCGTGTGTCTGGGGTCTGGGGACGGGGGTGAGCCGCGCATGCACAACATGTATCATCGCCACACAGGGACTAAAGGTAAAACGCAGTAGGAAAGACACGCGTGAACACCAACCAACCCTCAACGCCGTTGAAACTTATCGCGACCTTATACGCGCCGTTTCGACGCAAGTCCCTCGGCACCTCGAGTACCCGCTCCGCCTCCGCCCCCCGTCCATGGGCGACAGCAAGGAAAGTCCGCTCGTGAGGGCGCGAAAAGAACTCGCACGCGGCCGCACCGCCTTGGCCACCACCGGCAGGGGCCTGCCCGTCGACCAAGCGGCTGCAAAGAAGGCGCAGCAGGCAATGCAGCCATCCCGGCCGCCGCCAACAGACTTCAGCAGCCCACAGACATCCCGCACACCCGCGAGTTTTTTTTTGTTTTCTGCGAGCTGCTGCCGAAGCTCTACCGCAACGCGCAACAACCATTTGTCAATGCCCTCGTCGAGCCGACTGGTGACGACGGCCGCCGCCGCGGGATCGGTCGCCGCCGCCGCCTATATCGCCAGCAGAAACTTGCGGACAGCAACGGTCGCAGGCACTTCGATGGACCCGACCTTCAAGCCGGGAAGCAGCATCCTCGTCGAGGCGCGATCGGCCACCGCGGAGGAGGATCGGGGCGACGTCGTGGTACTCCGCTCGCCAGAGGAGGGCTGCGAGGATGATCTGCTCACCAAGCGCGTAGTCGGCCTCGAGCGAGACTGGCTGTATGCGAGGGACGGGAGGTTGGTGAGGGTGCCGACTGCGCACGTCTGGGTGGAGGGCGACAACGCCTCCAACTCGAATGATAGCACGCACTACGGCGCAGTTCCTCGGGACAAACTGGTGGGCACGGCCGTGGCTAAGGTGTGGCCGCCCGCAGAGGCGGGCCCTGTCGCGGACCGGCACGAGGAGTGCGAGGCTCGCGTCATCCCTGCGGAGGAGGCGCGCCGGCTGAGGAGCCGCAAGACGGAGACGGGAGAGACGCTGCGGATCGCGCTCCGCGCCAGCCGGGACGCGATGCAAGAGTACGTCGGTTGGACCCCTCCCGAGGACAAGGCGTCAGGGCGGCCCGCAGGCGCATAGAGCTTCTCCCAGGCCCTGAGGCGGCGGCTGGGTCCTCGGGCGCATGGCTGGGCAGCGATGGAAACTCTGCGCGTAGTTCAACAGCGATTTTGCGGGTCGTGTTGCGCGGGAGAGAGTGAGAGTCGCGTGCGCCCCCCGGGGTGTCAGCGGTGGGCCGGCACGCGGCACCGCGCGCTGGACGCGGCTTTATCAGACACACATGACACAACACTCTCTCCTACGCTAGTTTTCGTAAACGAAAACGGTCTCTCGCGTCCGCGGGCTCTCTTCACGCTTCAGCCTTCACCGCCGCCTGTCGCCTGCGCAATATTCAAACGCCGCGCCCTAACTCACACAGTCATCTCCTCAAACGATCATCACACACGTGAGACGCGCGCTCCACAACAAACATGCTGCATTAGTTTCTCTCCCCCAATCCCACCACACCCTCCGCGCTCCGGCTCGAGCGCGCCCGCAAGTGGCTCCGCCGGCATGCCCCTTCCCGCCCCTCCGCCCCGCGCCTCTCCGCCTCGCGTCAGTCCTTCTCGTAGAAGAGGCCCGAAGACGTCTTGGCCGCCCCCCTCTGCAGCTCATAGTACATGTTTGCGACAGCCTTGAGGTCGACGCTGTCTGGCAGGGCGTGGAGCGGGTAGCCGCCCGGCGGCGGCGCGTCGAGCGCCACGCCGATCTCGAACATGCGCCGCAGCTGCACAAAGGTCGCCTTGGCGACGGCGAGCGCCAGCTGCCGGCTCGCCTCGCCCGCCTCGCCCGCCGGGCCGCACAGGCCGAGGCTTGGCGGAGGTCCGCCTCCCGCACCGAGGAAGCGCTCGGGGTCGAACGAGTCGGGCGAGGCGTAGTCCGCGGGCAGGAAGTGGCCGACGAAGGGCTCGGCGGCGACGACGGTGCCGGCGGGCAGAGAGACGCCTCCCGCAGCCTATCCACGCGCCGGTGAGGGTTGGGAGATGCTCTCGAGCCGGACGCTACAGAGAGAGAGCGTGGGGCGGCCGTGTCTCGCTCGAGCCTGAGCCGCTGCGGCCGCGTGGGCGGCTGCGTGCGCAGCGTCTCGAGGGCAAACGCGTGCAGCAGCGGCATCTCGTCGAGCACCGCCGCGTCGATGGGCGCCTCCGGCCCTGCCCCCGTCAGCGCCGCCTTTTGCTCCGCCGCGAGCCTCGCAGACCAGCCGCCCTGCCGCTCCGCCATCGCAAGCATCGAAGTGACGAGGGCGGCGGTCGGCTCGACGGCGTCGAGCGCATCGGCCAGCCGACCCTCCCCGAGAGCAGCGGCGAGCAGCGCCCCCTTCTCTCCCCCGCCCCCGCCGCCCAGCCCCGGCAACCTAGCAGGCAAGCTGAGCCCGGCTGCCTGGCCCAGCAGGCTCAGCCGGCTGGCCGGGGCGAGCCGGTCCGAAGCGAGCGCCGCGTACGCCTTTCCCCACTCGCGGACGGTCGAGAGGCCCTCGCGCGGCGGCAGCGCCTCCAGCGTGCTCCCGAGCAGCGACGGCGCCGTCGCGCGGAAGAGCAGCCTCCGCGCGCCGGGCAGCGCCTTCCTCACGCGCGGGTCGATGAAGTCCTCGAAGCGGAAGGTCGAGAAGCCGCCCGTCTCCTTGAACTTTGGCACCCAGGCAAAGAGGCCCGCGTACAGCTCCTCGTGAAACCCGGCGGCGCACAGCGACTCGTAGGCGCCTCGCCAGTCGCCACCGGCCGACGCCAGCAGAGGCGCAAACGGCGCGAGCTCGAGCGGCTGACGCTGCCCGCCGCTGGCGATTGGCGTGCCCGCCGCACATACGCTCTCCACAGCCTCGGCGCCGCCGACAAACACGGCGCCGCCGAACGCGCCCGTGGCAAAGACCGGGCCAACCTCGCTGATCCGCGCGGCGCAAAAGCCTCGCGGGTCGGCCATGAACATGGCCTCGTCCCGCGCCGTGGGCGCGCCCGGAGCGGTGATCGTGGGCGTGCCGACAGCCATGCGTGGGCCGCTCGCGCGGACAGACGTGGACGCCACAGTGAGGAGCATCTTCGAGCGGCCGGAGCAGCTGGGAGACTTCCAGCGCCACAAAAGAATTCGGCCCTCTTAACACGCTCTCTCTCCTCTCTCTCGCTTACCCATACGCACGGTACAGTACACGCGCCTTTCCGAAACGCAGGCGAGGGTTCCACCTCTAAAAAGACCACAGGTACCTCACACAGTGGGGGACGCAGGGAGACTTCCACCTCTAAAAAAGACCGGGACCCCACCCGCGCCCGCGCCGAGGCCGCGCTCGCGCACAAGATCGATGCACAAGACATTTCGAGAGTCGCACCGTGGCCTCTCACGGGCGCTCCTGGGCCGCATCCGCCGCCATCCTCGCTGCAACTGCCCCGGCCATCGAAGCGGCCGCAGCGGCACCCCTCGCCTCCGCAGCAGCCGCCGCCTCCTCGAGCGCTGTCTCGCTCCCCTCCAACGCCGCCCTTGCCTCATCCAACGCCGCCTTTGCGTCTGCATGCGCCGCCCTGGCCTCCGCCCTCGCCACCTCGGCAGCCGCCAGCGCCGCCACGGCAGCCGCCTCTGCCGCCTTGTCCGCCTCTGCCTCCTCCTCCGCCTCGTCCGCCGCAGCGTCCAAGCGCGCCGCCTTATCCACCTCTGCCGACGCCGCCGCCTGGCTCGCCGCCGTGATGCCGAACCGCATCCTCTCCTCGTGACACTTCTCGAGAAGCCTCATCATTCTCTCCTCCTCGGCCTTCTTTGCGGCCTCGGCTGCGTCTGCCTCCGACGGCGCCTCATCACCCTCTGCCGGCGCCTCGGACTCCTGCGACGGCCCAGCCGCGCCCGCCCCTCCGCCCTTCTTCTTCTTCTTCTTGCCCTTCTTGCCCTTGGCGCGCTTCTCCGCCTCGACCTCCGCCAGCAGCTCCTCGGCGTGCCGCGCCGCCTCCTTCTCCTCCGCCGCCCTCTGCGCCTCCCTCTCCGCCGCGCCCGCAGCCCACGCCGCCTCCTCTGCCGCCTTCTCGGCCGCCGCCTTGGCCGCCGCATGCTCCTCGAGGGCGCGCACGCACTCGGTGTGGCCCTGTTGCTTGGCGTACTGCAGCGCGGTCTTGCCCGTCTCAGAGCGCAGCGTCATGTCTGCGCCCGCCCGTAGCAGCTGACGCACGACGGCGGGATGGCCGTAGAAGGCGGCAAACATCAGTGCGGTGTCGCCGTCGTTGGCCTGCAGGTTGATCTCTGCGCCGAGCCGGGTCAGCGTGTCGACCACCCGCTCGTGGCCTTCGCAGGCGGCGGCCATCAGCGCAGTGACGCCGATCGTGCTTCTCTGATCGATCTCCGCGCCGTGCCGCAATGCCAGCTCGACCATCTTCTCGCGGCCGTTCGAGGCGGCGAGGCTCAGCGCGGTGCCACCGTCACTCTTCTGCAACGAGACATCTGCCCCGCGCCGCAGAAGCGCCTCGGCCAGCCCCTCGTGGCCTTTGATCATTGCGACCATCAGCAGCGTCATGCCGCTCACGCGAGTGCCGCAAGCAAAGGTGTACTCGAACGTCGTGTCGACCCACCCGCCGCCGTCGAGCCACGCCAGCACCGGCTCCTCTTCGCCTCGCCGAGCCGCAAGCACGACCTCCTTTGGCACCGCCCCACTGCCCGGCGCGGCCTCTGCGCCACCCTCGCCGCTCAAAGCAGAGGCCACGGCACTGGCGCCCGCCTCCGCCTCGCCTGCGGGTGCGCCGCCCGCCCCTGCGCCGCTCGCCTCAGCCGACGGCGCCTCGCGCCGGCCCGCCACCTCCCCGAGATACGTCCTGAAAGCCTCGACGCACTCGGCGTGGCCGTCCTTCGTGGCGATCTGCAGCGCCGTCCTGCCGCTCGAGCGCAAGGTCATGTCTGCGCCCGCCCGCAGCAGCTGACGCACCACGGCGGGACGGTTGCCGAGGGCGGCGGCCATCAGTGCGGTGCCACCGTTGCTGGTCTGCAGGTTGATCTCTGCGCCGTGCCGGATCAGCGTGTCGACAATCCGCTCGTGGCCTTTGTAGGCGGCGTCCATCAGCGCAGTGCCGCCGTTGTTCTGCTTCTGGTCGATCTCCGCGCCGTGCCGCAAAGCCAGCTCGACCAGGTTCTCGTGGCCGTTCAAGGCGGCGAGGCTCAGCGCGGTGCCACCGTCGCTCTTCTGCAAAGAGACATCTGCGCCGCGCCGCAGAAGCGCCTCGGCCAGCTCCTCGTGGCCATTGGCCATTGCGATCATCAGCAGCGTCATGCCGCTCGCGCGAGAGCCATCCGAAAAGGTGTACTCGAACGTCGCGTCGACCCACCCGCCGCCGTCGAGCCACGCCAGCACCGCTCCCGCTTGGCCATCCTTGGCGGCCTTCTGAATGCTTGCGGGGACGTCGCCGCCGCCCTCCGGCGACGGAGGCGGCGTGAGGCGCCCCATTGTAGGTGCAGCTCGGAGAAAAGAATTAAGCAGGCTAGACTCGAGGGGCCAGGATATGCAGCGAGGAGGGCGGAGCTGCGCCGAAAGGCGCAAGAAGCAGCGAGAACAAGGGACCGGCAGGCGGCGGCGGCGTCGCAGAACGAGGCAGAGGAGAGCGACGCGACAGAAGAAGCAACAACAAACAAACAGCAGGTCTCGCGCGCGCGTGAACAGGGCTCCAGGCCCCAAATGACGTGTGAGTGTTAGAGTTGTTTGGTATTGCTAAAAATCTCTCTCTCTCTCTCAGAAGAAGAAGCGACAAGGGAGAGAACGACGAGAGTGGGACGACCGCGAGGTGGCATGAAGGTTGCAGCGAGAATCGGCGAGAGACTGCGAAGAGAGATAGGAAGAGGCGGACGCCCAAGGGTGGGCGACGGCTAGCGCACCACACCCCTCTCCTTAAAATCCCTGTGTGGTGGCGGCGTGCCGTCCTCCCATCCCTCCCTTGGGTTGTCCGTTTTCTTTCTTTCTTTTAGGCTCGACACAGGTGCGGACTGGCGCGTGCTAGCACTATCACAGGCAAGCCACGAGAAAAGAATTCTTACGTATTGGCGGCGTGCCGGGTAACAGAATTGTGAAGAAACCTCGAAGGGCACTCGAGTAATTTACCATACCCCTCTCTGCTCATTCCACGTACGCTATCCGCTACGTACTACGCACTTGTGTCGTTGTTTCGTTGTCGAGTATATACACACAAAATAATACAACTCGAATCGTCACCCTGGAGTCACCTCACGCGGGAGCTACCCACCACTCACTGTATGAACAACACCAACGTCCTAATGGCGTTCGCCAAGCTACTCGCACTCGTCGCACTGGGGCGCCATGTCCGCGTGCGAGCACCGCTCCGGGTCCAGGCACACATTGCACGACAGCCGGCTCTGATTCGAGATGCGGACGCTGGGGCGGACCCAGCGCTGGCCGGCGATGACCAGCGACGCGGCTCCCTTGATGCCGGTGTCGCCCAAGGTCGGCGGCGGCGGCGTCACGCCGCGCGGCCAGTGTCGGTAATGCTGCCGCGGCATGCTGCGGCGGTGCTCCAGCAGCCGCGGGTCCATGACGGCGAACCACAGCGGCGGCACGAGCGCGATCGCAATCATCGTCGCGTAGCCGCCCGGCAGCTGCGGGCTCGCGTCCGACGTCGTGAGCTGCTGGTACCGCTTCCCCGCGTGGTTGTGGTGGTCGGCGTGCCGCTGAAGCTTGAGCAGGATCGTGTTGCCCAGCCGCGTCGGCGAGTCCCACGCGTGGCGCAGGCCGATCTTCGCGTAGCGCCACTCGACTGGAAGCGACGGGTCGCTCGTGTACTGGCGCCGCTCGAGGCCGTAGTGTTCCAGATAGTTGACCGACTCGAAGAGCAGCACCGCGGTGCCGGCCTGGATCAGGAAGAAGGCGAGCGCCTGGCCGCCGAGGCAGAGGCCAACGCCCGCCGCCATCGCAATCGACAGGGAGAAGAGCTGGAGCAGCTCGTTCGTGGGGTGCAGAAACGGTACGCCGGCCTTTGCGAGCCGCTTTCCCTCCAGCTCGACGGCGGAGCGCAGCTCGCCGATCACGACGCGCGGGAGGAAGTGGTAGAAGGACTCACCGGCGCGAGCCGTCGCGGGGTCCTCCTCCGTGGCGACCATCTTGTGGTGCCCCTTGTTGTGTTCGATGTTGAAGTGCGGGTAGAAGACGCAGACAAGGTTGAGGATGCCGAGCAGTCGGTCGAGCTTGGCGTGGCGGTGGCACAGCTCGTGCGCGTAGGTGATGCCGAAGGCGCCCGAGTAGACGCCGAAGGAGATCCCACCCAGGACGACCTCCATCGTCGACAGCTTCTTCACGCCGTCGTAGCCGTCGTTCCCGAAGGCGACGATCAGCAGCGACCAGGCGAGCCAGAGGAGCTGGAGGACGGGCTGTGCGAGCGAGGCAAAGCGGAAGCTCTTGGAGTTGAGCTCGTCCTTTGGCGGAGGAGAGCGGCGATCGGTGCCGACGATGTGCTCGGCGATGGGGAGCAGGATGATGACGTAGGCCACCGTGGCGGCGCGCCAGCCGCCCCTGTAAATTCCCTCGGTGGCGAGCGCTCCCGTGACCGCGTGAAACCAGTACTGCACCGCAGTATTGTGGTCGTCGGGCACCCAGCGGAAGGAGATCAGGCCGAGGAAGATGCAGACCATCTGAAGCAGGTTGCTAAAGGGCACCTCGCCCTGGCGCAGCGGCTCGTCGAGCGACTCGTGGAGCACCGCGATGCCAGGCAGCCCGCCAACGAGGACGAAGGTTACCACAAGCGTGGCGAGCCAGGCGGCCTGGATGTAGGCGGCGGTGCCGCTGCGGTCGATCTCGGTCGGGGCAGGCCAGAGCTGCCAGTGCTGAGCGAGCTTCGGCGCGTCCTCCTTGGGCGTTTCGGCCTTGCGGGTGCCGGCTCGGGCACAGAGCGAGTCGATCGCGCGGCGGTCCCTCATGTCGTTGGTGCGGTTCGACCGGCGGCAGCGCGCGGTCGTGGTCGAGGCGGAGCGGCGAGAAGCGAGTTCCATGTGTAACACGATTTGAGGACAGAGGAGGAGCTCCTTCGGGCTTGAGGACCGCTGTCCGATCCTTGGGCGGTACTTCAGCTGGTTTTTATGCAGAAAGCGAGCACTGGCCGGCGGCGCTCCTTTCTCCTTGGTGGTGGTGGTGGTGGTGGTGGTGGTGGTGGTGGTGGTGGTGGTGGTGGTGGTGGTGGTGGTGGTGTGTGTGTGTGTGTGTGTGTGTGTGTGTGTGTGTGTGTGTGTGTGTGTGTGTGTGTGTGTGTGTGTGTGTGTGTGTGTGTGTGTGTGTGTGTGTGTGTGTGTGTGTGTGTGTGTGTGTGTGTGTGTGTGTGTGTGTGTGTGTGTGTGTGTGTGTGTCCTTTTCGAGATCGCGAGAGGGGCGGACAGAGACGGATGCTGGTTGTTCCCAGAGACCAGGCTGCAGCATGAAACTTCTCCCACCCGTCTGGGGGGTCCGTTTTATTTATTTGTTTGGGATCCTCACCCAACAACAAAACAAATTTTTCCCCCCCCCCCCTCTCTCTCTCTCTCTCTCTCTCTCTCTCTCTCTCTCTCTCTCTCTCTCTCTCTCTCTCTCTCTCTCTCTCCTCTCCCTCCCTCCCTCCCTCCCTCCCCCCCCCCCCCCCCTCTCTCTCTCTTGAGCACTTGAGCACTGGATAGGTTCGATTCCGCATGGTACGGGACCCCTCGATCGTCTCGCATGACGCATTGTACTCTATCCTTTTTTGATAGAGGCAGTTTGTCTTGCTCTGAGAGAATGGTGCGTTGTCGCGTTCTTGTGCTCAGTTCTTGCGCTGAGAGAATGGTAAAAAATCTGCGGTCGCAACGCGTGCGCGGGGCCCATTGTCGCTGCTTGTGCTGCTTGTTTCGATTCCGTTCGTCACGCGTGGTAAATAAATAAATAAATAAAACGGGCAAACTCTGAGACGAGATGGGATTTAGGGACATGTGTCCCCGCCCTGCACGATCTTGGTGTGAGGGATCTTCAATCCGTCCCCTCACTCCTGGTCACTACCCGACACTAGAAGAGCAGCAAGAGTTGGGGCTGCGGCTACGGCTGCGGCTGCGGGAGGGGCTATGATCGCGGGAGAGCCGCTGCGCCGCGTGGACGCGCCTACACCGCTCTTGCTCCGCTCGCCATCTCTCGCAAAGGTCCAACGCGTGGTAATTATGTGACGAACTGTGTTTTAAACTGCTGCCTGTGCACACGATGTCAAAAGAGCGAGGCTAATGTACAACCCACTTCAGGAGACGACGATAGATCGGACACACACCACGCACGCTCAGTCTAGGAGAGTGTAGAGATGTGCGATTGCTCTACGCCGCACGCTTGGCCGCGTCGGCTGCGCGCAATCTCGCTGCCGCCTTGCGCAGCAGTTTCGTGTTGTACTGGACGAGATCCAAATTGAAGTGGGTGTAGAAGGCGATGAGGACAAGGACCGAGAGGAAGATGGGAGACACGAGGGGGTACTTGAAGCCGAGGCCGTACAGGCCGTAGGCCTCGAGCCACGGCGGGAAATCGCCGCCGTAGACGTACGCGAGGCGCAGGGAGGCGGCGGCGAGCGGCGTCCACCAGATGACGCGGCAGCAGTAGAGTGCGCTGAGGACAAACGCCTGGAAGCGGTACAGGAAGCGCGGCCACGACTGCGCCGGCGTCTGGTGCATGCACACCGCCGAGAGCATCAGCCCGCCGGTGATGTGCGCGCCGAGCAGCACTTGCGACATGAAGGGCTTGGAGAGGCCCGGGCCCGCCATGAGCGCGACCATTTCAAAGCCGATGGTGAACAGGTGGTGCGGCACAAAGACGGAGTCGACGGCCATGTGGTACCGCGAGACGGTGCGGTCGACGCCCGTCAGCCGGCGCCAGAACATCGCCATCAGATCGTAAGACTCGAAGGCCATGTCCGCGTACATGCCAAAGTAGAAGTACCACTCGTTCCTGCCAACCACGTAGATGAGCGGGAAGAGCACGCCGATCAGAAAATGCTCGGTGGCAAACGTGACCTGCCCCTGGCCGACGGCGCGAAAGTTGGCCGACATCTCTCCCCAAAAATTCCAGTCGTTCATGAAGGGAGCGCGGTACGGGAAGACGAGGCCCTTCTCCCGCAGAGCGTAGTGTCTGTGCTGCCAGTCGTTTTGCTTGTGCTCCCAGAGCTCCCCCATGTAGGCGACCGCCTCACGCGCGGCCACCTCGCGCTGCTCTTCGTCGCTCTTAAAGGCGAGGCACTTGATGCCTCGGAAGGCAAGGAAGTCGGCGATCTGCTTCTCGGTGGCCTCCGGCACTGGCACGTCGAACGGCTTGCTGTTGCCAGGCGGGTCGGGCCAGGGGAGCTGGCTCGGAATCAGGCACTTGTTCGCGTCGTATGAAGTGAAGAGCTTTCGCGCCCAGAAGCCGGTGTGCCACATGCCTGCGTGCGCCAGCGCGGCTGCAACCAAGATGGAGACGAGAAAGGTGGCCACCGAGAAGTCTCCGATGATGAGGTCGCTCTCCTTGAGCTCAACGCGGAAGGCCTTGTCGAAGCACTCTTTTGAGATGCACCAGCCGGCGAGGTCGCCCCGTGCGGCCATCTCCTTGTTGGGCCAGAGGCCGAGCGCTGCGATGGAGTTGTCCAGATTCCGCATGTCGAAGACGCTGAGGGCGGCTGAGACGTCGGGGGGTGGCGCGAGGACGAGCGTCGCGATGGCCGCGGTGGCGGCGACGGCCGCAGCGGTGCGGGAGGAGCTCGGCATTGAGTAGGCGGGACCGGGGGCGAAGGCGTGATGGGAGTGCTTCCCTCAAGGCCGTCAAGGATGCCTGAAGGACGCCTGCGTTTTCTTTTTCGATGTTTTTTGTTTGTGCCGTGCGCGCAGCCGCGCGTTGCGCGCGAGACTGTCTTATTTTCTTTTTCGAGATCGCGAGAGGCAGACCGTCTGCTGCTGCCAGAGACTTGATTGATTGACTACCAAGCAGGAAACTTCATTCAGAGCGTAGAGGCGACTCAGACTCATGTTCAGACTTTCGCAGAGCCCTGTGTTCTTTCGAGTTCTTGTTTCTTCTCCTCTATATCTACCTAGTCCGACCTACCTACCCTTTCCCCAGAAGTGGGGCGGCGATTTTGCTTTACGTTCCCCACACCTTCGTAGGCGGCATGGTGGTGGCAATGCTTTGTGCTGGTGCTTGTCGTATGCCCCTCTCCGCTCACCCGCGCTGCCCGGCACCCCGCCGCGGGAAGCGCACCCTCTCGTCCCACACTCGCCACGGCAGGTGCGGGGAGAGGTGCTCCTCGCCGACGCACGCCACCAGGTGGAGCTTGAGGACGCACTCGGGGTAGGCCCAGTCCTTGCGCCGGCTGCCGCCGCAGTGGGCCTCTGTGCGTCGCCGCTGCGCGCATCCGAGGTAGGATAGACCCGCCGTGAAGAAGGCGTCTGAGTGCTCTCGGCTGACGACACTAAAGTCGTCGCGGACCATGACGTTCGCGGGGAGGCTGCGGCTGCCCGGAGACCTTGGCGCGTTGCCTGGGTGGTTCAGTCCAATCGTCCGGTCGCGAGCGTAAACTGCCGACCGCGCGCCACGCCAAGATGAGACGGGTCGGAGGTCCCTAGCCGGCGACCCGCGCATGTCAGTCCGCAGCCGGATCATCCACTCGTACCGAGCGCCCTGCAGCTGCTCTTGCCGGCGCACCCAGGCGTACGCCTCTAGGAGTCGGCCAAACTGCGGCCAGAAGGGGCGCAGGTCGCACTGCATGCATAGCGGCGAGAAGCAGCCGCCAGAGGCGGGCACGTAGCACGTAGCCCTCGACGAGTTGTTGCGGGCGCCGCAGACCTTTCTCCGCGAGGTCGGCGCTGCACACCACGAAGGGTCAGCACACGGCATGAATCCCCTCCTGCTGCTTTGCGGTGCCGCCGGCACGTCGCTCACTCCGTGCCACACCTAGGACAGCGTAAGGCTGCACGTGAGGGTGGTTGAAGTATGGCGAGGTGGAGAGTGTGTGCGCACCGGCCCGAGGGCGTCCAGGATTCTTCTCAGCTGGACCTCACTTGCTACCTGCTGCTTGGTCTCGTAGACGCCGTTTGGGATCTCTGCGGGAGCCGGGGACACATCAGTGCACAATGCTCTCGGCACTCTTCGCGGGCTCAGCGTCGCACCGAGGCCCGGCGTCCGAGTGTCGGCGCGGCTGACATGGACAAACGTGTCCGTGTCTGCCACGCCGATGGAGCGGCGAAACTGCAGCACGTCCAGCAGGCCCTGCTCCTGGAGCAACGTGCGGAGCTCGCCTGTGATGATCAGGGCGAGTATGCGTGGCCGACGGTCCCCGGCGGCCCGTGGTCTATGCGTGCCGCTGACGAGAATCGGCGGCACGTCGGGCTCTGATCGGAATGCCTGGCAGCGGGGCGGCCCGTTGTCTAGTATCACACGGCTGAGAGGCCAGTCGACGGCGAGCGTCTGCAGGGTTCCGTTGAGGGGTGAAACATGCATTGCGAAAACGTAAAAAGGTCGCATGCAAGCCCAGAGTCATGTCCGCGGGCTCAAGCGTGTTTGCGCCGCTCAACGGCCTCCTCGCCGCCACCAACCAAACGAGCGGCGTCGATCGCGGGGCGGTGCTCTTCGTCGTGATGGGCTCGCTCAGCCTCATCGAGCGCTCTATTCTGCAGCAGCAGACGTGGTGCCAGCACGCGACATGCGTCTTCTCATTGCTGCAAGATGTCAAGCAAGCCGCCGGGCTGGCGGCGGCTGAGCGTGTGCTCAAGCAGGTGGCCATGCGCACCCTCAAGCTCGACCGCTCACTCGTGTCCGGTCCGAGCGCAAAGGCATGCTGCAAGGCCGACGAGGCGGGCAAGAACGAGTCGCAGGAGCGGCCGAGCCCGCTCCCGAGGCGGCTCACGGCGCCACGCAAGCAGTATCTGCGTGAGTTCTCAAAGGAGGGTCCTCAAAGGTACTTTTGCGCAAAGCACGCGCAGGCAACGATGACCGCGCAGTACCGCTTCCTGCCGGCGTTGCATTGGGCGAGGGAGCAGTTGCGCACAAAGCGGTACGACTGGGTGGCTATCGTCGACGACGACTCGTTCGTCTTCCCGCGCGCGCTCCAGCGCCTGCTGCAGCGGTACGACTCGAGCCGCGCATACTACTTTGGCGACTTCCTCGGCGACGACGCGTTGACGTTTGCGTGCGGCGGCGCCGGCAGCTTGCTGTCCCGCGGCGCGATGGCGCGCATGAATCTGATCAATTGTATCCGCACGATGCACCCGAAGTGCATGCAGTCGGACTGGATGATTGGCAAATGTGCCGCCAGGGCACAGGTCGAGCCCGTCACAGAGCACGGCTGCACGTGCACCGGGGACGGGCGGGGCATCCGCGAGTGGATGCTGCGCGGCAGCACGCCGCCCTTGCATCTCAAGGCAGGGTTTATCCACGGCAGCTGCCACTTCCTCCAAAAGATGGGCTCTCCCGCGAAGGATGCAAAGGTGTACCGTGAGCTAAACGACCTGGAGTCAACCCTGTTGGCCGCACGCAACATCCCAGCCGTCGTACACGGCTTTGGGTCGAGAACCCTCGAACGACTCGCAAACAGCAACGCCAACGGGCAGCAATGGACCGAGGTTGTGCGGAGCTGGGGAGACCGTGGCTCGTGATGTGGTTTGTGTTGCGAGTAGTAACAGTATACAGGACACAGCAGAGTATTAACATTTCTCTCCGCGCACGACGACAGTCGACACACGCCACACGTTCGCACACGTTCACACATTTCCACATACTATCGGACATACATTCGCACGAGAGAGAGAGTAACGTACGCGAGCAGAAACGAAAGGGGAGAGCGCGCCAACAAGCGCTCCAAGGGACACGCAGCTCCTAAGAGCGCGCCACTACCGCTGCCTTGCGGTCGGCAAGCTGCGCGCGGTGCGCGGGGAAGGGTACGCCCCGCATCTGCCAGCTCGCCATCTCGCCAAAGTGTCCGAGGCGCGTGTTCCGGTTCCGCTTGACCGACACCATCGGCGTCTTGGGCCCGAGCCACGGCGCCGGGTCGAGACCCTCTCCCTCCCAGAGGCAGGGAGGGAGGGCAACGAAGTCTGCCTCGTCGAACTTGTCGTGCTTGACGTCGCCGGCGCCGTACTTGGTCGCCTGTCGGCAGAGCAGCTGCGGCGTGCCCGTGTCGTTGCGGTAGAGGGAGATGTCGAGGCACGAGGGCGCATGGCAGTGGCCGCCCGCGTAGATGAGGCTCTTGTTGTCGATGCTCCAGTGGTACGTGATCGTGTGCACGCACTCGCAGTCGGCGCCGAACCGGCTCGGCTGCTCCGGCGTGGGGCAGCTGCCGGTGCAGCTCGTGCCGGGCGTCGGGACGCCGAGAGGCCAGCTCGGGTAGCCCGGCAGCGGCACGGACGGCGTGGCGAAGGCGGGAGGCACGTCGTACTCCCCCGCGCTCGCCTCGGTCATGTAGTAGATGCGCTCGAGGTTGAGGTGGGACGCGCCGCCGCCAGACGGCGCAGCGGGGGCCTGGACCGCGGCGTGCGCGCGCGGCGCGGGCAGGTACTCTTCGAACCAGAAGCGGTACTTGTGGTGGTAACGGAGGAGCTCCGGCCGGACTGGCTGGTCCGCGTCGAGCATGATGCGGCCGTGGCCACAGCAGCGCAGCCCCCCCGCGTACGACATCGAGCTGCAGGTCGGGTTGCGCTGCTCGAGCAAATCGCCGAAAGGGTAGTGCGCCCCGGCCGCGTCGTGCCGCGGCGGGGCGCACTCCTTGACAAAGTGCGCGCAGCCCGTGCCTCCGTCGTGGCAGAGGTCGCCCCGGCCGCCTTGGTCGCAGACGCAGGTCGGCGCCCCGGCCGCGTCGGTCAGGGTGAGCGTGGCGTGGTGGTGCGCCTTGTGGTGTCCGAAGGGTTAGGGTTAGGGTTAGGGTTACGGTCAGGGTGAGCGTGGCGTGGGGGTGCGCCTTGTGGTGCCCAAAGGCGTGAGGAGATATGCGGAGATATGCGGAGATATGGGGAGATATGGGGAGAGTGGTGGTGCGCCTTGTGGTGTCCAAAGGCATGCGAGTAGCCGACCGCCGTGATCAGGTTGAGCGTCGTGTTTGCGGCGAGCGAGAAGGAGTAGTGGTCGTCCGTCCGCCCCTTGAGAGGCCGCGACATCTCCACCGTCCGCACGCCGCCAGAGACCGAGTCGGAGAGGACGGTGACGGAGGCGGCGAGGCGCGTGCCCGCGCAGTGCTGCGCCTCCTCGCCGCACGTGCCTAAAGGACGCGTCCGAGGCGTGTCGCGGACGTGTCTCCGCACGAGCAGAGCCCCCACCCGCCGCGCGCGCCCAGCTTCTGCTCAAAGACCTCCTCCCCCGCCACCACGATCGTGTATGGCTGGTCGGCCATCACCAGCGCGTGGAGCCCCGCGCCGAACCAGCCGCCCGCCGGGCCGGAGAGAGTGAGCGTGGCGGCGTCCGAGGCGGCGTCGAGGGCGATGCCGAGCGTGACCCCGACGAGGGAGGTCACCTGCCCCACCCGCCTCGCGCCCGCCTCGCACGAGACCGCCGAGTGCGCCGTGTTGAAGGTGGCGGACGAGGCGCCGCGCGCGTCTCGCGAGACCGAGCAGCCGCGAGGCAGCGACGAGGAGTGCACCTGGGGGGGGGGGGGGGGGGAAGCGTGTCGTCGGTGACACGCGTCACCGACGAGGCGCGTGCTCGAGCAGCCGAGAGGGTGCGAGGAGGCGGTCTGCGCCGTCTCGTTGCGGATGGAGGTCGCGTTGACGCCGAGCTGGGCGACGGCGCCGAAGCACGCCTCCGCAGAGAGGACGTGCGCCTATGCGAGAGGGAGGGCGAACATCTCGCGGACACGCGGTCTTGGACTCGCCCTGCCGGGCCCGAGGCGCTGCAGCTCGCCGCCGCGCCGCACGCCCCGACGGCGACGCCCTTGAAGTCGTGTGTGAGCACGCGCGTGCGGCTGCCGCCCTTTCCTCCGTCCGGGTAAAAGGCGGGGTCGCCTCCGTACCGGCCGTTGCAGGGGCACTCGAGCAGCCCAGAGTAGTTTGTGGCGCCCGGCACACCCCCCTTTGGGCCGCCCGGCACGAGGCCGGCCACAGCCAGGCCGTACCTCGCCTGGCGCGGCTCTGGGCCGGGCGTGAAGCCGTGCGGGCCGGAGCAGCGGGCCACGTCGTCCGGGGTGGCGCCGCAGTCGCGGTTCCGGATGTCGATCTGCATCGGCGTCGTGTGCCACGCCCTCGGCGAGCGGACCAGCTGCGCGAACCCGGCCGGGTAGCCGTGGAAGCTCTTGCGCGACTCGCCGCCGTTGCCCTCGGAGAACCACTGCGAGGAGGGGGCGCCGTCGGGAGAGGCGGCGGCACCGGCACGGTGCCGCGCGACCATGCGCGTCGCCGCCCCGTGCGACGACACGTCGTTCGGGTCGACTGAGACGCGCTCCATCTCTGCGGCGGCGCCGAGGAGCCACGTCTCGTAGTGATGGTTGTCTGGCGGGCGGGCGGGAGGGGGGGGGGGGGGGGGCTCAGGGGAGCCAGGAGCGGGCGGGAGCGGGGGTGGGCCACGTACATGCCCAGTTGATGGGGACGGACACGTCCTTCTCCGGGTGGACGCCCGGCTTCCCGCGTGGCTGTACCATCACCTGGTCCATCTCGTACCCGACGATGGCCATCGTCTTATTGGCGAAGCGGCGGACAATCTCGGGCGGAATGGGGTGCGTGCCCATGTCCGTCCAGAATACCTCCGCGTAGTGCGTCGCAATCTCAGGCGACCAGACATCGAAGTACTCCAGGCCGCGCGAAGCGTAATCGTCGTTGAATGGCACGTCATGCCGGCCGCCGCTGCTGACCGAGTAGCGGCCGTTCATGTTGGCCGCGAGGGCGAAGATCGCTGGAAATGGCGGCATGCTCCCGCGTATGGAAGACCCGACGCACCCCGTCCGCTTGTTCGGGCCGAATAAGAAAAACGATTCTCTCAGCGGACCAAACCTGACGGCAGTGCCCGCACTCTCACCCCCCCCCCCCCCCACACACGCAGGCGAGCTCGCGCCTCTATCGTACCTCTCAGTGGATGGGCGCAGCAAGCAGCGACGCCAGCATCCCACGAGCACACCCCTCCCTGCACCAAACCTGAGATCTCTCTCTCTCTCTCCAAACCTGCTGTGCGAGGCAGCGCCCGCACTCTCATCTCGCAAGCGGATGCCCTCCAGCACGAGCGAGGCGTGGAAGAGCAGCGTCGAGACGGCCGCGACGCGAGCGGCGATGTCGGCGGGGCTGTCGCAGCGAGAGAGAGCGCGCACGAGAAGCTCAAGGGCGGTACCTCTGGCTCTGCCTGTTCCTTCTGCAGCCGCCTCCAGCCGCGCAGGTAGGTAGGTTCTCCAGCCGCGCAGGAACAAGGAAGGTCGGCGTAGCGAGTGTCCAGTGTGCGGCGGCGGCGGCGGCGGCGGCGAGGCGGCGCGAGCGGCGTTGTGGGGGCGGGCATCGGCCATTCGCGAGAAAAAGAAATTTACCGCAGCCCTCACACAACACTTGAGAATTGAGTGGGCACGGGACTGTGGCGCCACTGGCACTAACAGAGGAACAGAATTCCCGCGGGAGGGGGGCACCATGGAGGGATGCCGCGGGAAAAATCTTTCCCCTTTCTGTAGGCTTCGCGAAGAAGGAATGGATCTCATCCCGCGAGCGAGGCAGGCTGCAGGAAACTGTTGTGGAGGCTTACGGAGGAGCTGGCGCTTCTCTCTAAACCTCACGGCCGGCCTGCACCCACGCCTCGATCTTCTTCGGCAGCAGCTGGTTCTGCTGGTCGCCGCTGCCTAGGCAGCCGAATGCGCCCTTGCCCCAGGTAAAGACAGCGCCATTGGCGGTGAGGGCGAGGCAATAGTAGGCTCCCGCCAGCACGGCAACGACGCGCTGGCCAGCAAAGGCCTCGATCTTCTTGGGCAGCAGCTGGTTCTGCTCGTCGCCGTGGCCCAACCGGCCGTGCCCTCCATAGCCCCAGCTCCAGACGGCGCCGTCGGCGGTGAGGGCGAGGCTGTGGAGGGACCCAACCGACACAGCGACGACGCGCTGGCCAGCTAGGGCCTCGACCTTCTTCGGAAGCAGTTGAACCTGCTGGTCGCCGTGGCCCAGCTTGCCAAGGCCTCCACCGCCCCAGCTCCACACGGCCCCGTCGGCGGTGAGGGCGAGGCTGTGCGCAGCTCCCGCCGACACAGCGACGACGCGCTGGTCAGCGAAGGCCTCGACCTTCTTGGGCAGCAGCTGGTCCTGCTGGTCGCCGTGGCCCAACCGGCCTACGCCCCCCCGGCCCCAGCCCCAGACGGCGCCGTCGGCGGTGAGGGCGAGGTCGTGCGCGAATCCCGCCGAGACAGCGACGACGCGCTTCCCCGCCAAGGCCTCGATCTTCTTGGGCAGCAGCTGGTCCTGCTCGTCGCCGTGGCCCAACGTTCCTGCGCCCCAGCTCCAAAGACTGCCGGCGGTGATGGCGAGGCTGTGGTACGATCCAGCCGACACAGCGACGATGCGCTGCCCAGTTAACGCTTCGACCTTCTTTGGCTGCAGCTGCCCCTGCTCCTGCCGCTCGCCGTGACCTAGCTGGCCAAAGCCTCTCTGACCCCAGCTCCAGACAGCACCGTCGGCGGTGATGGTCAAACTGTGGAAAGGCCCAGCCGACACGCTCACGGCGCACTCGCCACCCAGCATCGACGGGAGGCGGGTCGGCGTGTTGAGCCGCGCCACGCCCTCGCCGTGACCGAGGAGCGATGGGTTGAAGGGCTGGAGCAGCCCTGGAGCGTAGGACGGCGCTGACCCGCACGACGACAGCCGCCCCTCGCCGTCGATGAAGAGGCTGTGCTGATCGCCTGCCGCCGCATTCACCGGCGGGTTGGACTCGCACAGCAGCGCAGCAAAGCACAGCCACCGCACGGCGCAGCCCTCGCCCTCTGGCTGCGCCGGCAGCTCAAAGCCGCGCTCTTGCGCCCACAAGCGGATGCCCTCCTCCGCGAGTGAGGCGTGAAAGAGCAGCGAGACGGCCGCAACGCGAGCGATGTCGGCGGGGTCGCAGCGAGAGACGACGGGTTCGACGCGCGCGAGAAGCTCAAGGGGCAGGTCGGTGAGGGGGCAGTGCGCGGCGGCGGCGGCGGCGCGAGCCGTTTGGGGGGTTTATCGCAAGAAAAAGAGTTCACTGAGGGGGGGAAAGAGCCCGAGATCGACAACTAACGTGCTCTCAGCGGACCAAACATGATCTGCGAGGCAGCGCTCGCACTCTCATGACTCATCTCTCCCCCCCCACACGCACGCGAGCTCGCGCCTCTATCGTACCTCTCAGTGGGGTGGGGGCCGCAGCAAGCAGCGACGCCACGAGCACACCCCTGCACCTCCCGCTGACGTTTTGTCTCCTCGCCAGAGGCGCGGTCGAGTCGCGCGCCCTCGTCGATGTGGCGGATAGCGGTACAGTATAGGAGTCTCGCCACTCTCGGCTCTCGCCTCTCGGCGGTTGCTAGGCCTAGGGCGGTTGGCGCAGGGGCGGCTGACGCGTGACGGCGGCGGCGGTACGTCTCTTCACTCTCGGCCTGCTTCTCATCAACGTGCTCGGAGCTCGCGCAGGCAAGCAATTACTCGGTCCGCTGGAGCCGACGCTATATGCCGCGGGCATGGGGTTCGGAGCACTAACGGCATGCCAGGTATGGCGAGCGTGCTTATGCCGTGCGTCTGGCCGCGGAGAAAAGGAATCAAGCGTTCATGGATGGAACGAGTACGCAGAGGGCTGAAGGCATCATTCTGCGCTCAGGTGGCGGCAGCCAACTCGCACACGGACATGCAGCAGCCTGTCGAGCTCGCAAGCACGCAAGCCAAGAGACTAGGCGGCAAAGAGTTCCGAGCCCAGCTTAGCTAGGGGAGAAAGACGTGTGCGAGCACGTTTGCAGTGTGCAGCTATCAAGGCACAATGTCGCGCCACCATCTTCGCGCACTAGACCGCAGAGACGTCGGCCGAACGCCCATCTCAGAGGAGATTGAGCCAGCGCGAGGGCAGGAGGTCGTCGTGCAAGTACAGCTTATCGCGCCGAGTCGCATCGTCAGCCGCAGCTGCTTTGGCCTTGGTCGGCTCCTTGACGACTCGGCCCTTTGTCCAGCGCTCTGGCAGCAGCTCACTTGGTTCATCGCCGCCTGCCATCATCGCCCCAGCTGGCGCGCGGGTCGCTCGGACGGGAAGCTTGCGCATGGCGGTGCGTGCCTCGATTGAGTCAGCGGACAGGCAGAGGAGAATTAGCAGGGAGAAGACGAGACGGAGCATTGTGGACGAGCTCTGCTGTGGAGCGCTCTGCTGTGGAGCGGAGTGGACGAGCGAGGACTGATGAGTCTCGTCACGCACGGTCGTTTTCTTTTTCTTCCCCTCCTTCGAGGTTCTCGAGGTGGATATCCTTTGGCCGCGTTGGGTAGCGAGGATTGGTGTAACCCGAGCCACGGAGGCGTGTTTTCTGACGGCCGACCGTCAGTGCACGGAGTTGCCACTTCTCCGACTGCCCCGGCTAGTTCCCGAGGTCGCGCGGGGCTGACCCCTGTCATACCAGAACCCAAAATTGACCGTGGCGAGTCGGATCGCGTGTCGAGGTCGTGGCTTCGTCTGGCGAGGCTGGTCCCTCGCGCTCGATTGCGCACTCCTCGCCATGGCTGTGTCTGCTGATCCACGGGTGCTGGAGCACCGTGGCGACAGAGGGGGGCCGTTCGCGAGGGTTGAGGGCGAGGAGCGAATCGATCAGGCTGATTGCGCCGACGGAGAGATTGCACCACCGAGGTGGGAACCAGCCGAAGATGGCTCTCGTCGCCGATCGGCCCTCCTCTTGGACGCGCCGCAGCACCCTCACCTGACTCGCGAATCGCCGCTGGTCTGCTGCAAAGGGCATGAAGCCGCCGAGCATCGCCACAAGGCAGACCCCCAGAGACCAGACATCCGCGGCGTACTCCCACATCCACAAGGCGACTAGGAAAGAATTTAAACAAAACAACTCTCTCTCACAGACTACTCGCTTAGTGTGGGTAAACCATAGTAGCGTGCACGCTACTATGAACAGAGAAACCCATAAGAATCGCCGCCGCAGTCCACGACGAGCCAGCCTGCTGCCGGCTCGCACGGCAGCCTCTTCCTCTCGACCAGCCTCAACTTCCATACAGTCAACATTTTGTCGCTGCGTGCTCGTGGCGAGCTGTGGCGGCGGTCGAAGTTGGCCCAGATTCGACGACGAGCGCCGGACGATAGTAGTGTCTCTGTTCGCCCTGTGCATGTCAGGCCAGGCTGCAGCAGGGCACTACCATCGTGCTGCCCTGCTGCAGCCTGACTTTGCCCACTGTGCACAGCCGCCAGAGCATCACCACCGCCCGGCATCGTGTCACGGCGAGCTTCTTCTGCGCCCGCTCGCGAGGCTCTCGCGCTGGTACACTTTGGCCATCTGCTGCTCGCGTTCGGCGAGCTCTTCTCCGCACTCCTGCCACGGTGCCGTCACCACACACCTTCTGGCCGGCCTGAGCCGCGCGGACTCGCCGGCGGGGGCAACGTGTCGACCTCTCTCTCTGGTGCACCACGGGCCGCGACGGCCTGCTAGCAGCCGGCGCGAGGAGGCAGTGTGCCGGCACAGTCGAGCCGGAGCATCGGGTTCTTGATGCTTGTGGGGTCAAGTTTGACCTTATGTGGCAAAATATGCAACAATAAGGCTATGCTGTCTCCCGGCTTTTTGAGATATGATCCCTCAAAGTCGAATTATGGTTTACTGGTGACCATAGTAGCGTCTGTCCTGTTTGCGTTTCATCACACGAATACTTTAAAGTCTCGACAATCACTAAGCTGCTTATGTGGCACCGCAGCGGCTCCCTTGGGGATGCCTGAGGCCACCCCAACCACTCACCAAGCCTTACGTGGACGAATTCAAACCTACTTTTATGGTTTACCTACATTAAGGGAGTAGGAAAGAAAGGAAACTGATTCCCTCTTGCGCGCTCGTTCCTCTTGCTCTGCCAGTCCAGTTGATCGAGACGGCGCGGGATGGCGCTGAGCGAAGCCGTGCTCGCCGAGGCGCGCGCCAACCCGTGGCCGTTTGCAAAGGGCCACGGCCACCTCCACGTGCAGTGGAAAAACGGCCTCGACGGCAACAAGCAGTGCCTCGACGCTGCCATCTTGCGAGGCGAGTTCTCCGCTGCACAGGCGCTCCACCGCCTGACGGTTGGCATGCTCAACCTGGACGGGTCTCGCAACGGCCCACAGCGGCCGACGCTCTCCAGCAAGTGGGCGTCGGGAGGACGAGCGGCTGCTGCGGTCAGCGCCCACGTGGAGGCGCTCCGGCTGCACCTGGCGCAGCGAGTGGCTGCCGACATCGCACGCGCAGGCACCGCCGGCACCGCCGCAGGCACCGCCGGCACCGCCGCAGGCACCGCCGGCACCGCCGCAGCGACTTCCGACGGCGCCGAGGCGATCGACCTCACCGCCAGCGACGACGAGCCGCCGCCGCCGCCTCCGCCTGCCGCCCTGCAGCGTGACGGCGACGCCGCCTCGCTTGCGCTGGCGCGGCGGCTGCAGGCGGACGAGAGTCGGGCCGAGGTTCCTGGACGAGGCGCCGAGGCTGACCCGAGGTTGGATGCCCTCAGGCGGAGTCTGACGCGGAGCTCGCCGCCTCGGTGGCCGGGCGGGAGGGGGCGGCGTCATCTCGCGGTTTGCGGCCGAGAGCTGTCCGTACGCGTGCATGACACGTCCGTCGCATGTCCGGTAGTCGCCCTCCGACAGCGGCAAGCGGCCGTGCCGCCGCGTGCGCGGGTGACAGAAGGACTACGACGCGGACGGCAACCACACGCTGCAGCACGCGGGCTGGGGCACGAGCGCGAACCGGCAGGCGGATGAGAGGGGGCGGTGGGGGAGAGAGGGCGGAGGGAGCGAGGCTCCTCCTCCTCACCGCTCGAGCCGTGACCAGGCGGCGGTGTGCTGCGTGGAGAGGGCGAAGACAGACCGCTCCTGCTGCCGCGTGTGTGGGGAGCCGATCGAGGCGGGAGAGCTGCGGATCGGGCGACAGACCGCGCCGCTGCGGGCCGCTCTGCCAGCAGGACACTCCGTGGCACCTCTGCGCCCGCGTCGCGTGTAGGCGACCGGAGAAGAAGCGCGGGAAGCCGATTGTGGGCTGGTGCCTCGCTAGCCGCGTGGCGGCGAGGCGGGAAGAAGAAGACTCACGTCTGGGCGCGCGAGCAGGTACCACGTCCGCTGCTCGAGGCCGCTGCCAGGCGAAGACGAGTGGGCGGGCGTGGAGGGGTGGCTCGCTTAGCCGAGATGCGGCCGAGATGCGGTCGAGATGCGGCCGAGGTGCGGCCGAGGAGCGGCCGAGGTGCGGCCGAGATGCAGCTCAGAAGCGTCCCCGACGCTTGCGTGGCGCGGCCTTGGCAGGTGGCTCTCCCTCTCCCCGCCAGAGCAGCGCCGGCTGCTCGACGCGCAGTGAGGCGGCTGCGCGCCGCCCTCCCCTCCCGAGCCGGCGAGATGAGGCGCACCCCGCAAAATTGCACGCAGTGCAGGCGGCGGTGGGCGGAGAGACGCACGGCTTGGGCGGTGGGGAGGGGAGCGCAGGAGCGGCGCCGGGCCGTGCTGTGGCTTTTGCGCTCTTGGGGCAGGGGGGGATGCGGTCTCGGTTTTGCCATTCGGTTGTGCGTACGCGGGCAGCGGTTTACGTTTGCTGGGGCTCTGTACTTGTGTGGGGCGCGCATGCACACACCTATTCACTACGTTGCACTGCCACCTTCGTACACACACATGAACATGTTGTACAAAGCGATCGTGCTCAGCCCCTCACCCGCCTTCACTTTGAGACCGCTGCGCGGGAACCGGGAAGGCGGGCTAGCGCTGAGCGGGTGGGTAGGCCCTAAAACCCGGCGCGGGACCGGGAGGGGTAGGGCTCTAAAGTATATCGATAGAGCTAGAGGGCTCCCGCTGCCGGGCGGAGCGGAGGTTCCAGAGAAGCCGGGCCTCACGCAAGCACAGTGGAGCAGGGCTGCTACGACGCGGTCCGTGAGTTCGCCAAGGATTTGATGATCAGCTTGACGGAACAGCTTTCACCGGAGGCTGTCGCCAAGGAGACGGAGGCGACTTGGCAGCAGCTGGCTGATGACGGCGACGAGCTCGCCATGCAGCTCGCGCACATCGCAAGCGCTATCAAAGGCGTGCCCATATCGGCGGTTGCAACCGTTCTGGAGGCGTCGGCCGAGGCGCTCTTGCGCTCCGTCAACATGGTTGTTTCCACCTCCGCCAATGGCGAGAAGCGCACCCCTTTCTCTGCCTACTCGTCGTGCTATCGGTCTATGGTTGCAGGGTGCGTCACACTCCACTCTCATTCCCTCACACACACACATTGCAGTCACTCGTAAGCATATGACACAGGACCGGATCGGCCAAGTCTCTGCTCTTCAAGGCGATTGCCCCGCAAGCCCTTGTCCCGACCGTCGTAGCCGAGATTCTGCGGCCTGAGCACGGGCAAAAGGAGGCGCCCGCCGCGCTCCGGGAGGCGGTCGCCTATCACCCGCGCGAGACAAACGGCGACCTCAAGGGCTTGATGACGGCCGGCACCGCCTCCTGTGCGCTTCTCATTGAGCACCACCCTTCCTCCCTCTTCGCCACCCACCCGTTGCTGCGTGCCTGCGGCTCTTAGGCGTCATGAACAAGCTCGTCGCTTTCCCAGAGCTGTGGCGCCTCCTTATGTCCGTCCCTGAGGGCCAGGAGTGGGTTGCCAACATCGAAAAGGGTCGAAGTCGCCGGGCGAGCTCTCCGCCTGGACCAAGTTTTGGGACGCCGGCGAGGAGGTCGCCAAGGGCACCGGTGTCACCGACATCAAGCGCATGCACTTTATGATGTCGCTGCTGCTCATGACGCAGCACGAGTCGGTCTTGCGCATGGCTAAGATGGAGGACAAGAACAAGAACGGGCTCTTCGGCCGTTTCCTCATCACCTTCTACGAGAAGGACGCCTTCGACTTCTCCTCCATTCTCGGTGCCGGCTACAAGGACCTGCTGTCGGACGAGGGCAAGCAGAAAATGGCGCCGCTGATCGGCGCGCTCACGGAGCGGGCGATGAAGCTCCTGATGGCGGCGTGGGTTGCGGCCGAGTTCCCGCCGCTCTCGGTCCTCTCAGCGTATCAGGAGCACACGCTCGACACGGCTGCGCGGCGGGCCAAGGCGGCGGCTGCGCGGCGGGCCGAGGCGGCGGGCGAGGAGGGCGAGGAGGGCGAGGAGGCGGCGCAGGCCAGCGAGGAGGACGAGGAGCCGACCGCGTCGCAGCTCTCTGCGGCGGGGGCTGACTACAGCGTCCTCAACTACGCGGACATCAACAATGGCACAGGCGTGCAGGGGGTGGACCGGGCGCCGCTCTCGGAGGAGGTCCAGCCAGTCCTTATTTTGTATTTTACACCTAGTCCTCCGGCTGACCTGGGGTGCCGGCAGGAGCTAAGAAACCACGGCGTGGGGTGGGTGAGGGGTGTGAAAAGGCTTAGAAACGGCGGCGTGCCAGATCTTGTTTTCTCAAAATGGACAATGCCCGCAACAGAAGACTCTGTAGAGCGGCAAGCAGCAAGACCAAGAGCGCGCCGTCGCGTACCGCTCCGCCATCGCCCAGGCGATGCCGCGCTTCATCGAGCTCGCGCAAGCGTGCGGCGCGGGGTCCGCCGTGCCTCGCACGGCGCAGATGGAATACGTCGGGGCGGTCCGTCGCATCGCTCAGCTCGAGGCGCTGCGAAAGAGGGAGCAGCGGAAGCGGCGGCACACCTCCTACCTCGGCCGCCTCGACCTCTCGGATGCCGAGGTTGACGCGGTCAACAGCGTGAGGCTCGGCTGAGGGGCGGCTCCTCTCCCGCACCCGCTGTACGCACGAGTGGGCGGCTGGGGGGGGGGGGGGGTCTGTTTCCCTTTTCGTTCTGGTTCCTCACCGCAGCAGTTTCACTCAACGAAAACTCGGAGTTTCTCTCTCTCTGGGCACAAAATCAGTCAAAACTCAGATCCGCCACAAATGTGTTCATCCCGATTAGGATCCCTATACGCGATTCGCCTGAGTCGTTCTCTCGGCCGGCCGTCTTGTCGAGAATCGCCATATCGCGGCGAGGTGTGCCAGGGCGCAGGGCGATGCTCGTCGAGTTGCTGTCGGTCATCCTGCGGTTGGCGAGCGCCGTCTTTGACGACCCCTGTGCGGGCGCCACCGCCCGCTCAAGACAAGATCCACATCTTGACCTGGCTCACGGGGGCAGCGCCGACTTCCGTGGCACGGACCAGGGGTTGTACAACTACCTGTCGACACCGGGCCTGAGCGTCAATGCGCGCTTTGAGGAGGCGCTCTACACCCTCCACGACGGTCTTCTTCTCGTCAACGGCACCTTCATGACTGAGAAGTCCACGTCGCCGCCCTCGTCGCTGGCGACGCCGTGGTCAGCTATCACGCATCTGAGCTCAATCAGCAGGATTGGGGCTGGAGGGCCGTCAAGACAAGCTGTGGTGGCAGCGAGGTCACGCTCGGGCCAAATCGGAACCGAACCTGCGGCGGGCTGATCACCTCCGTCAGCCGAAAGCGTAGGAGTGGCCCACGGAGGAGGGCGTGCCGCCACTCGAGGCGTTGCCAGCGCCCGTCGAGGAGGTCTTGAGGAGGGGCGTCCAGAGCTTGATTTCATTCACTTCATCGCATCCTCCCGGCCCAGCGTGGGGTTCTGCGAGGTCGACCTTGTACCCCTCGTTGTACTGCCGGGTGAGCTCTGGTTTCTCCTTGTCACCGTGCACGACCGGCGCGTTGGCCGGGGCGCGCATCGCGTCCGCCCAGGCGGCGAGGACGCCGTCGTGGGGCCGCCGGTGGTGGGCCTTGTTGTAAAGGTCTGTGTTTTGTTGCGTGCGTGGACCTCCAACCTAGAAGATGTGTAAGAAGGGTGCGTGCGTGTGCGTGCGTGGACCTCCAGCCTAGAAGATGTGTATGAAAAAACACGTCCTTTACCTCTCTGTCACAGCAGACAGCTCCAAAGGTTCGGGAACAACCCTGATAAAAAGAAAAAATCCGCGCGCTGGCGGCGACTCCCGCGACCCTGAACTCAGTGCACTGATCCCCATGCTCCCAACCTCGGCCCGACGCGCCCGATCCGGCCGCTGCCCGACCACGTCCATCCTCGCCACCCTCCTCGCGGCGTGCGGTGGCCTCATGCTCGTCATGGGCCCGCAGCCGGTCGAGCCGGACCTTCGTCCTCCCGAGCGGTTTGGCCGCTGGCTCCGCGATGTGGACGAGATCGGCGAGGTCTTGTCGAGAGACTCCGACGCCGCCGATGAATCGCCATTGCCATCACCACCGCCACTGCCGTCACCTCCTCCACCTCCGCCACCGCCGCCGCCTCCGCCGCTGCCGCCTCCTCACGATCGTTGCCACGTGATGGAGCGAACCGAGCTGTCCGGCGACGTGGTCCGCTGGGGCGCCGATCACAAGGTCTCCTCCGCCGCGGCCTGCTGCACCGCCTGCCTCGCAGAGGACCGCTGCTCTGTCTGGGTCTACTGCGCCGGACCGGCTTGCGGGGCGCAGGCGGGAGAGTGCTGGCTCAAGACCCTCGCCGACCCGTTCAGCGACGTCGACCTCGTCCGAGGCCGCTCCGACCGGTGGACGTCGGGGACGCGGCTGCCTCCGCCTCCGGCCGGCGCCACTCCGAGTGAGATCTCGAGCGGCGCCGTCGCCTGCAGGGCGCAGCGCCGGCTGAGACTGTGAGGCTCTCTGCGCGGTATAGGCCGCACCGTCCCTGCCTCGGAGGCGCACTTGCTGCTCCGGCTCGCGGACGGGCTGGGGAGCGTGCGGCTGCGGCTGCGGGACGGTTCGCCAAAGGCCAAGGAGTGGGTCCAGGCACACGTCAACGGCTGTGCAACGTTGCAAGTGCTTGCGCCGGTCGTGACCGCCCGTCCGCCGCCCGCCTGCAGGCGCTGGTCGATCAGCATGCCGACTGCCACGGGTGCACCTTTTACCGTGCCGAGGCGGTCCCTCCGCACTGGGGCAGCCCCGACTGGCCAGACACGTACGAGGGCGGCCGGTGGGGCCCGCCGTACGCGCTGGTGCAGGGCGGGCTCTCGGCGCGAGGCGCGGCGGAGCCTCCTCGCGTGCCGCGCGAGGACAACCCGGTGGTGCGGCGCGGCATGGCGGCGTGGGCTGGCGGTGGGAGTGGGCCCGCCTTCTTCATCGCGCTCGCCGATCATCCAGAGTGGGGGCGAGGGCACACGGTCTTTGCCGACGCCGTCACCGAGGACATAGCAGCGCTCGAGCGCATCCTCGCCCTCCCGACAAAGACAACTCCGGGCAAAATCCCGATCACGAACCTCGTCACGCCGGTGCCGTTCACACTTGAAAGGGTGTGAGCGTATTACCAAGGTGTGTTGCGTGTTTTCATTTTAGGCAAAATAAAAAATGATCACAGTGACCAGAGCTGGCAGCTGCACGAGCTCGTCTCCAGAGCGCATGCAGCTAGAGGGGTGTGAGCTCTATATCGTATATGGCGCCGTGTGGGGGGCTGGGCCTGGGGGGCGTGAGCTGTGGCTCGTGTGTGTCATGAAAGATGAGAGGGCAGATCACCTTCGAGGGGCGGGACAGGAGAAGGAGTGCAGTGTGCACCGCAATGTGAGGCGCATGCGCGCGCATACTGAACATAGTGCACAAACGGAGCGCCGCACGCGCGTCGCCTTGGCCAGCAGGGGGTAGCTCTAGCTGCCAGGTGGAGGAGGTGGTGAGGAGGCCTAGTCGAGGTCGGCGGCCATCATGCCGCCTGGGCTCTCGCGCGCCACCGGCTTGAGCGGCTCTGGCAGCAGCTGCGCCGTCGCCGCCTCGTGGAGCGCGAGCGCGTCGACCAGAGCCGAGGGCGACGCTGGCTGCGTGGGTGCCTTGGAGAGTGCGGACGCCTCGGCCGGCAGGAACGACACCAGCGGCTCGAAGGCGCCCGAGGCGAGGCTTGCCATTTGAGGCGACGCCGTGCTCGCGGCGGCGGCGAGGGCGGCGACGACAGCCGGCCAGCCGCCCGCGGCGTGCACTCGGCCAAAGTCGCCATCGACAAGCTCAACGAGGGCGAGCGAGAGAGCGAGGCGCGCCTCCTCCCGCTCGGCGGCGAGGAGCGCCGCGGCGACGGCGCGGACGTTGGCCGTGGTGCAAGCCGCCTCGCGCGCGGCGTCGTCTTTGAGGAGGGGCGAGAGGCTGCGCGCCACGACCAGCGCGTGCTCGTGCTCGCCTTGGAGGAGCGGCAGCAGCGCCGGCAGCGCTCCGGCGGCGGCGAGGCGGCCTGCGAAGCGCGGCTCGTCCGCCACCTCGACGAGCAGCGCGAGGGCGGGCGCGAGGAGGCCGCCCTCCCCATCGGCCTCCAAGCCGGCCGGGCGGCGGAGGAGGGCGACGTGGGCGGCTGAGGCGCCCGCAGCGAGGCTGGCGTGCTCGCGCGAGAGCGCCCAGAGCGTCGCGCAAACCAGGAGCAAATCGCGTCCGTTCGCAAGCGAGTCGCGACCGCCAGGAGTCTCTAGCGTGGCGGCGGCGGCGCGCGCGGCGGCGAGGACGATCGCCTTGGACGACTGTGACAGCGCGCCGATCAGCGGTGCCCAGCCAGCCTCGGTGTAAGCGAGACCCCAGTCACCGCCGACGAGGGCGTCGAGCGCCACCAAGAGAGCCAGGCGCGTGTCCGAGCTGCCGATCGCCTGGAGGGCGCCGCTCAGCGCCGCGACGCCGCCGGCCGCCCGAGCCGCGCCGCGCGACGCCTCGTCGACGAGGAGCGGCGTCATCGCGCTCGCGATGGCGTGGACGCGAGGCTCGTCGGCCAGGGCGGTCTGCCCGAGGAGCCGGGCGAGGCTGGCGCCGCCGCCGGCTGCCGCGAGGCCCTCGGCAAACAGGGGCAGCCTCGCCAGGGCTGCGACGGCGCCCGCCGCGGCGGTGCGGATCTCGAGGTCGAAATAGTCGAGGAGGCGGACCGCGGCGGCGGGAGCGCCAGCGGCGAGCATGTCGGCGATGCAGTGGTGCGGCACAGCGGCGGGGTCGGCCGAGAGGTTGACGATGGCCGTGAGCGCCATGCGGAGGAGGTGCGGCTCGCTCTCGCCGAGGAGAGCGCAGAGCCTTGGCGCCGCGCCCGCCTCCAGCAGAGCCGCCGGCTCCACAAAGGAGACGTTCGCGACGGCGGAGAGGGCGACGGCGCGCGCCCGCGGGTCCAACGCGCGGGCAGGGTCGAGCGAGTGGCAGAGCGGCCGCAGTGCTCCCCAGCCAGACAGCTGTGAGCGGAACCGCTCGTCGGCCGCCAGATGGGCGAGCGCCTGCAGCCCGTGCACCGCCTCGTTGGCGTCGCCGCTGTCGGCGGCCGCCACGAGCAGCGGCGGCGCTCCGACTGCGGCGAGTGCCTGGCGGCCAGGCCCCTCCAGAGCGGCGCGTGACAGGAGGGAGAGGAGGCCGGCGCGCTGCGATGGCGGGAGCCCTCCCTGCAGCAGCGGCGCGACGAGCCGGTGGAGGTCGTCGGGCCCGGCGAGCGCGTCGGTGGGAAGCGCTCCGAGCGCGCAGAGGTTGGAGAGGACCGAGATGGCGAGCTCGCGGACGTGCGGCTGGCCCACCAGGCTGCAGAGCGTCGCGAGCGCGCCCGGCTGCTGCGCGATCGCCACGGCGTGCACCGCCGACTGCGACAGCTGAGCAAGCGTGTGGAGCGTCTGGTCGGTCGCGCCGCGGCTGAGCGTCTCGCACAGCATCGCGATGCCGCCGGAGGCGACCACCTCGCCCGCGTTCTGCGGGGCGAGCGACGAGAGCAGCATCATCGCGCTGGAGCGGGCGCGCTCGTCGTCGGTGCCGGTGAGCGCCACGATGGACGGCATCGCCGATGTGTTTCGCACGGCGCGCTGCACCGCCGCGGGGTCGGTCGAGTTGACCGAGCAGAGGCAGTCGATGGTCAGGCGCGCCTCCTCCTTGCCGCGAGCCGCGTCGCCGCCGCCCCACCCCTTTGCGACGCCAGAGGCGTGGATGAGGGCCACACAGAGCGTCTCGGCGGCGCCAGCGGCGAGCAGCGCGCGGGCGCCTTGGGCAGAGGAGAGGAGCTCCGAGATGAGCCTGAGCGCGATAGAGCGGCTCTCGGCGGGCGCTGCTGATGAGAGCAAGCCGAGCAGCGTGGGCGCGGCGCCCACGCCGGCCACCTGCGCCGCGCAGTCGCCGCTGCAGAGCGCGAGGAGGAGGCGAAGGGCGGCGCGCTGGACGCCCTCGATCGGCGATGAGAGCAGCGGCGCGGCGTAGAGCACGGCCCCAGACTCGAGCAGGGGCGCGTGATGCGCCTCCCCAGCCGAGGCGAGGGCGTCGCACAGCGGCTGCTGCACCCGCGGCTGCGACGAGCTCCCAAGCGCGTCGAGCAGCCTCAGCGGGGTTGGGTCTGAGGCGGGCGCCGTGGCGCAGTAGGCGCGCAGCCCCTGCGCGACCTCCTCGCGCTCCGCCGGCGGAGTCCGCTCGTTGCGCAGGAGCGCGAGCATGCCTTGCGGGGACGACTTGTCGGTGGCCAGGGCCGCGGCCGCCGAGGGGAAGTTGCGGACCGGCGAGCCGGTGGGCGGCGGTGGCGAGATGGAGGGAGAGGGTGAGGGGGAAGGGGAGGCACGGCTGCCGCTGTCACCCCCCTGCGCGGCACCAAAGACACCGAGCTTGCGGAGCTCCTTGTTCATCTTGTGTACGGCGCCCTTGCCCTTCTTTGTCGGAGTCGGGCCGCGACTCGCCGCCTCGGCAGCCTCGGCAGCCTCGGCCGCCTCGGCGACAGCGAGTGCCGCTGCCGCGTCGGGGTCCAGGCCGCCTCGAGCTTCTTGCCGGGCTGATCCACGGTTGCTGCTTCTAAAGCTGCCGCTGCGGCCGGACGGTACAAGCCCAGCCGACATCTCCTTTGGAGTCTTCTTGCCCGACGACGCGGCCTCATTTGGACGCGTCCACGAGGTGCTCTGGGTGTTGAAATCGACGTAGTACCTGCGGCCGGTTGCAGGGTCGAAACGCTCCTCCCAGCCAGCCGGCAACGGCGCCTCACCGAGGTTGGATGAGCGTCGCCGGAGGAGAGTCGGAGCCGCCTCCGCCGTCTGCTGCTTGAGGCCGGCCAGGACCTCGGCCGCAGGAACGCCGGCAGAGAGGAGCGAACGCGCTTCCGGCGTGTCGAGAAGGTCAGAGTCGGTGGGCATCTTGCAAGCTCTGCGAAGGCGTCTCCTCTCGGAGGGCACTTCCGCTGGGACTTGGATGTTTTCTTTTCTTTTAAGCAGCGAGAACTCAACTCAAGGCTAACGTAAGGCAGGAAGGAAGGCGCGAGCGGCGTGTGCGTGCTCCTCGGGCTCTCCTCGGACTCCCCTCCACCCTCAGTCCCCGACATCGCGACATGTGCAGAGGCAACATGCCTATCTGGAGGAATCTTTCGATCGAGCCAGTCTTCCTTCACGAGTCGAAATGGCCGTGCCGCATGTGTGGTCATTCAAACAGCGCGTCATACTTACCCGATGGCTTGAAGTACTCCGCGGGCGAGTGCTTGAGGTTGAGCTCCGCAAAGGGAAACATCATGTCCTGAGCGTTGTGGGCCCAAACCAGCCTCAGACTCGGCTCAGAGCCCGTGAAATTGACGATTTTTGCGGAGTTTCCTCGGGAAACTAGAGAGGAAACGAGAGGGTGCTGTTCTTGCCCGCAACCCGATCCCGATCATCCGGCCCGCTGGGTGCGCTTCTGAGCTCCCCGGCCCTGGATGTGAGGCTAATGATTGCACTCCAAGTGCTCCAAGTGCTGTAGAGAAACACTGAATGAAAGGAAACGGAACGGGGTGAGCGAGGAAACGTGGGTGGGTACAGCCTAAGGCGCTCACAGCATCAGAGCCCGGAGCCGTGTCCGATAACATTACACTACCTACCTCCCGCAGCATCGCTGCCTCGGAGCCTCGGAGCGGCGGCCCGTCGCTGAATGCAAATGTGTGGGGGTTGTGGAGTTCTTGGAGTAGGTGAGGCCGAAAGAAAGATGGAAATGGATTTACGTCTCAACTTGGAGCACTTGGAGTGCAGTCATTAGCCTCACATCCAGGGCCGGGGAGCTAAGAAGCGCACTCAGCGCGCCAAGTGAGAATTCTCTTTTTTTGCTGTTGTTGCACGCCGGACAACAAGCGCCGCTTTGATGCCGAAAAAACTGGCCGAGCCCTCGGGCAGCACGCTCGAGCTTACGCTCACGAAGCCCCACGCGCTCGGCGACTGCGGTACCTGCGGTGTGACTCTCGCAGACCAGTCGGGGAAGCGGAAGAACGGTGTCTATGCGGTGGTGATGGGCTCCACGTTCCGCGAGCGAACAAAGCACGTGGTAGTCACCTCTGCAACGGGCGCCGCGGCGGAGGCGGGCCTGCTTGTGCACGATGAGCTCCTCGCCTTCAACAACGAGCCCATTGAGTCGGTGCAGCACGCCGAGGGCCTCTTTCTGTCCGCGGCGAAGGGGCAGCACTGCCTGCGAGTGCGGCGCCTCGGCGCGGCCGTCCCACTAGTGGTTGGCAAGGTTGTGGGCTCCACGAGTCAAGGCTAGCATTTCGGTCGAGGATCTAATTTGGAGCTGCCAGTCGCGAGTCAGCTGAAACTCTTGTCGCACAGCTCATTTACGTTTGGGGGGCGAGTGCTCGAGGACAGAGAGATGTGCTGCTTACGGCTTACGCTAGACACGGGATGCTAGACATGAGTGCTAATTTTCCACAAATTTCGCCAAACACGGAGTTAAGTGGGAGGCGAGGCGGTTGCCCTTCACGCGGCCACTGCGGCTCTGGGCGGTCTCTGAGCCCTGGTCTGACAGCCTGAAAGCAAATACCCGGACAGCGCCTGACAGTGCCCGACAGCCTGACAGCGCTGACAGCACTTTCTCTGACAGTCTGACAGCACGTGTCTGACAGCCTGACAGCAGAGTCTGGCAGGCGAGGGGTTCCGTCGCTGTCAGGCCCTAACGTGACAGCCTGACAGCTGCCTGACAGCCCGACAGCACACAGTGGCCTGACAGCAGCGCTGACAGCCTGACAGCCCGACAGCAGCACAGACCGTACACAGACCCCGTAGAGCCTCTTTCTTGTGCCCCATTGAGGGTAAGCTGCTGGCAGATTTCAACGTCTCCATCCAGGAGGAGTCAAAGGATCGCAAGCTCCGCTTCCACGTCAAGCGGCTCATCACAAGTCCCATCAGCAGCGGGGCGAGGATGTGGATGAGGAGCTCGACTTCTACATGGATGATGATGACGGTGACCACGCCCTTGCCCGCCTGTCACACACACACATAAGACGTGCATCCTCATCTCTCCCTCTTCTCTTTCTCTTCGCAGTTGCGGTGCTCTTCACCATGGAGGACAGCTCCAAGGTCTTTGCCATCGGCAACATTGAGCAGGTGGCCGTCGCCGACGGCACAGTAGACGCGCGCCGCGCCACTGGCAGCTCCAGCGCAGAGTACCTGCGCCAGCTCTCCATGAGTCAGCGCAGCAACGGGGTCTTCATCAACGACCCCAAGGGCCTCTTTATCCTCCGGTGGTACCGTGAGGTGAAGGGTGACGGGACCCCCCCAGACGGCCCGCGCTACCAGAACAGAGCGTGCACAAGTACTACAAGCTGACGAGCGACAACGATGGGGAGGCCTTCCGCTGGACCAGCAACTACCAGATCATCAGCAAGGTGTACCTGAAGAAGCACTCCACCCTGCCTCTCTGCTATTCTCTCAGTGCGGCAGACAAGAAGATGGTGACGTCCACCATGAAAAAGATGGTGGGACCGGAGGCAGAGTAGAGGCTAGAGTATGTATGTGTAGTAGAGTCCTGCTGGTCTCCTCTTGATAGTGTCATAAGTGTGGCTGGTGTGTGTCACAGCCTGACAGCACCCCGACAGCACCACCTGACAGCACCTGACAGCAACAGCCCACCGTCTGACAGCAGCAGCAGCCTGACAGCTCCGACAGCGTCTGTGACAGCAACACCCGACAGCTCCGACAGCACCTGACAGCTACAGAACCCCTCGCCTGTCAGACATGCACCCGACAGCACCCGACAGCACTGACAGCACCTGACAGCTGGTCTGACAGAGGCACCTGACAGTGCCTGACAGCTGCCCGACAGCCCGACAGATCACCTGACAGCACCTGACAGCCTGACAGCCAGGGCTCAGGGCGGTCTGGCGTCTGGCACTGCGCGCGGGGGCCCCGGGGGCACCCCCCGACCGCCGCGGACCGGGCCCGCGGGGCACAGTCGAGGACGCGCGAGCTTCTTCGGTAAACCGAGATGGCGGCGCGCGTGACTGATTTCTATCCTCTGCTGTATATGTGAATAATGATTAATGTGTGTAAGAATGCGGCGAGATTCCCTCCGCTCCACGGCCTCAAGAGCTTTTTACCCATCTCAGAGAGGGTTTCGTTTTTATTTATTTATTTACGGCCTCAAGCTCACAGCCTCGCACGCCCTCACGCAGCTCCTCGCACCCCCCTGCGCCCGAGCTATATCGTGTGCGCTCGGCTAGGACTGTTGAGCTGCGCGGTGCACCTTGTAGATGGAAAACGACGCGTCCGCCCCCCACCCCTCGTGCTCGCGCGCAATCCGGCGGCACATCAGACAGTCTCTCCCGACTCGCTCGATCCGGCACCTGAGGCCGGCGGCGCCGAGGCTGGCGACAAAGTCGGCCTGCCGCGGCCGCCCGTCCGGGAGGACAAAGAGAGCGCACGGGTGGGAGTCGGCGGATCCGTTCGCCGCGGGGCGGAGCATGGCGCGCAGCAGCGCCGCGATCCGCGCGTGCGAGTGGTCGTAGACGATGTCGGAGCCGATGACGACGTCGAAGCTTCCGAGCAGGCCCTCGTAGCGGCAGAGCGGGCTGGCGGGCGGGAGGTGGGGCAAGGCGGCCACGTCCGCCTCGCAAAAGTCGCGAAAATCGACCAGCGCGGCGGCGGGCGCGGCGGGCGCGGCGCCGGCAAAGTTGAGCCGTATCGACTCCCCCAGGTTCCGCAGCACAGCCGGGTCGTAGTCGGACATTGTGATGCGGGCGTCGGGCAGTGCTCGCGCGACTGCGAGCCCAACCAGGCCGAGCCCGGCGCCGATCTCGAGAACCCGCGGGGTGCGGCAGCCCGCCGGCTGCAGCAAGCTCGGGTTCTCCAGCAGCCACGCCGACATGAGAAGGGAGGCGTCCCACAGCTTCCCGCCAATGCTACCCGCCACCTCCGCCGCCGCCGGGCGTCGAACGCGCAGCGAGAGCCACTGCTGCTGCTCATCCTCGCTCTCCTCAGCCTCCTGCTCAGACTCGTCGGCGGAAGCCGAGCCGGACCGGAGCGCAGCCGCGCGAGCGCACGCCTCCCGCCTCAGCAGCGCGGCGCCGGCAATCACGTCATCGACAGTCGCAACCTCGCTCGACGAGCTGCCCGCTCCGTAAGGGATGCGGACGAGGTCTTCGGAGGCGGCAAGCAGCGATGGCGGCAGCATGTGGGCCTTCCGTGAAGTTAAGCTGGACTGAAGCGCGGACTGCTGCGCGGCTCACGGGCCGCGCCTTCGCGTTTGTCAAGCCACGTTTTCTTTGCTCTTTCAGAGGGGGGTATCTCGAGGTTCTGAGGTGGATATCCTTTGGCCGCGTTGGGTAGCGAGGATTGGTGTGACGCGATCCACGCAGGCGTGTTTTCTGGCGGCCGACCGTCCAGTGCACGGAGTTGCCCCTTCTCCGACTGCCCCGCCCCCGGCTAGTTCCCGAGGTCGTCGGGTGTGACCCCTGCGTCCCCCGAGACCTAGCGCGGGTGGGTTAGAGGGGGCTCGCTGCAGGGAAGGGCTGTGTAAGAAGCCGATCCCCGTAGTCCGCCCCACTCCTCCCCATCGGGCCGCATGAGCGGCCACGCCTCGCAGGTTCGTATCTCGCGCCTGGGTCAGGCGCGCGGGGCATCCCCCGCCCGGGTCGCTCGACCAGCGATCCGAAGAGTGGCCGCTATGCGAAGGAAAGAGCAGGGCCCTCGGGGTACGCCTCGTCCGGCCCCCTCCCGAGGGGGGAAGGGAATTGCGGGGTCCCCACGGGCGCCTCTCTTCGGCCCTCCCAAGGGGGGGAGGGGAGCAAGGGGGTGGGGGGATCGGGGCGGGGGGGAGGTGTCTCGGATTTCGTGGGTCTAATACTTGCCTGTCGGGGAGGGGCCTCGCGCCAAGCGCAATTATTGCTGCCTGACCTCTTCCCCCCCTCCCTCGAGGCAGCGAGTAGGCAGCGAGAGGAGGTCTCGAGCGCCTATTTATGAAGGTATGTGAGATGGTGATGGGAATGGGTGGTCGGTCGGTCGGTCGGGCGGGCGGGCGGGCGGGCCGGCAAGCGGGGAGAGACGGGCGGATGGGGCGGGGCGGGCGGGCGGGGTGATCGGAGGAATCGTACCCACAATCAGCAGAAGCGGAGCAGCAGCAGCAGCAGCAGCAGCTGCAGCAGCAAGCAGCAGCCTGCTGCCGTTTTCAGCGCCGCGATCCGCCGCCGCGCCGCCGCGCCGCCGCCGCCTGCGCCGCCTGCGCTCGCCGCCGCCTCGTAGACGACCTCTCTCGCGCTCAAAGAGCCGCGCAGCGGGCTGCGAGGTTGAGTTCAAAGAGCCGCAGGGTGTCGAGACGGCCCGGAGACGGTCCCGCGTTGTTGCCCCGGTGCTGGCGCATCACTCCTCGGCCGCGAGGGGCCGGCTCCGCCGCTCAGCCGAGCAGCAGGAGCTCTGGCACAAGTTTGTCGACTAAGTGGTTGAGCAAAAAATCGGCGAGGAAGCGGCACCGGCGGTACGCCGGGACGAATCCGGACCGGTCACATTGTGCAGAACCGCGGCGGCGAGCCGCCGCGGGCCCACAGGAGGGCTGGGCGCCGCGGCACTAGACCGCGCTTCCAGTGGGGCGAGAGCCGCAGCCGACAACCAGCCGACATGGCAGTTGCTAACGGCGCGAACCCTTATTAAGGCGGCGGTATACACTCGGGGGCAGCAGCAGACCGGCAGTACAGTGGAGCTGGGTGGTGTGGTACTTATTTATTAATTATTAATCATCGGATGATAATAATTAATCATTAATCATCGGGCGGCGGCGCGGCGCGGCGGCGGGCGACACTGAACGAGCGGGGCGGCGTGACCATCAGCAGACGCCCAGGTCTCTAGCCATTGGAGCTCGGCAATGGTGGCGCCGTCCACCCTCCTCGACTCGAAGGGGCTGCCTTCCACCCGTAGCTGCTCAGGCCGGGCCCGGGGGGGAGACCTCCTCTTCCTCGCGGAACATGAACAGGCACCTACTTGCCCGGTCTTTGATGCAGAGCGGTGGTCGTGCCATCGGCGCTTCGTACACACACACACCTCGCCGCAACTAAATCTATCGCCGGCGCGCGAGCCGCGACTCGTTCCCGGGTTGTTGCACGAGTATATGGGACACGATGTCTCAAATATGAGGGGTTTTGACTCCTACCAGCTCCTGACGCTATCCCTGGCAGCTCTAATGACCAGGATCAGTAGTGCTATAATAGAGGGTGCCCATACTAGCGCAGGAGCTGCCACACTCGCCCGGACCGTCCCTTTCTGGGTCCGGTTCCGCAGCCCGCGAGAGCCGACAGCGGGGCCGTGCCGCGGGTGCCTACTGCCGAGTGCCACAAACACTGCGCCGTCCCGCCATCACCTACAGGCTGTCTTGTGTGATGGTTGGGATGTCCAAACGCCACCATCTTGGCTCTTGCGACCTCAAACCCGCGAGCTGTATGGGTGGTCCTGACGTCGACAGACGCCCGAGGACCACGGTGAAGCTGAGCTGGAACGAGTCGACAAGTCTCGTCTGAGCCCGTGGCGGTCGCCGGCTGAGTCGCTGTGCACGGACCGCTACCTCAGGCGTCACCTCCGCAGCCTCAGGTCTCACACTCCATCACCTCCGACGGGACGCCGTCGGTGGCACGCTCGGCGGCGACTTTGTGGCAGCCCCACAGCGAGCGCGGCGTCGAGCCTAATCGGTCTGGTCGGTTCGCGGCACTCACTGGGTGCCAGGGAGTGCCGCCGACACGCGAGCGGTGCTTCCTGGCAGCGCGCGCCGGCTGTGGGGCTGCAACAAACTCGACAAACGCTTTTTTGGGACATTTTCGACGCTTTTGTCCCATATTCGTGCAACAACCCTCCCGTCGGCTGGACTGTCCTCGTCGAGTGTGTCCGCAGAGGGGCGAGACGCACTCAGGGACGGTGCCGACGGGACGCGGCTCGAAGGGCGACTCCCGCGGAGGCACGGCTGGCACCCGTGGCGCGGGGCTCGTCTTCGAAAAGACCAGGATTCATAGCTCTACTGGCAAACTTCTAGCTGACACGCGCGCCCCGTCGAGCTTACGGCGGGCGCGCTGCGGTCGCACGCCTACCCAAGTCATATGCCACGGCGTGCGATCTAGATTCAGCACACGCGCTTCTGCTCGCAAACACTCATCCAATGAATTGTCGTCACCCATGAATGCTGGGGTCACCGCTGTGGTGGCCACTGCTGCCGGCGTCGCCCCCGCCCCTGCTCCAATGAGAGATGGGGTCGCGAGGGACTGGCAGAGGCGTTGGAGAGCGCCGTAGAGGCGGCGGCGGAGGCGACGGTGGAGGAAAAGGCGGTGGCGGAAGAGGCAGTGGCGGCGGCTGCCCTTCAGCTCGCGCAGCTATGCGAGCGTGTTGACTGTGAAGAGCGGGTGGCAGCCGTGCCGTCCCGCAGCGTCTCGTGCATCGGCAACAAGGAGAAGGAGGCAAACAGCTCGGCAGGGACGACCCATCTCGTGCATCGAGTCGACCTCGGCGCGCACACGCTTCTCGTCGA